TTGAAGTCTTTGCTCATGTAAAAAGTGAAGTTCAGTGTGATGAAAGCGTCAACAGCCAATAGGAGCACTCGCTCCAGAAGCAAACATTAAGCAGTAAACCTGTAGGTTATCAGTAAACATATAGGCTGCTGTCACCATGTCAGAACAGAATGTGGTAACAGTGAGACGCTCATAGTGAGACAATAACAGTAACCTCAGAAAAAAGGAAATGCCCTTTAAAAGGCCTGCTAGCTTGTAATGTTAATTCAGCTAACAATAACATACACACAAGGGCAGCTGTGGATAAAACCTGCTCCTGTTTCAGCTCCATTGTTCCTTTTTTTTTTCTTGTAAATTTCCAACAGGAGTGTGATCAGAAATAATCTGAGCCAGAAGCTAGCGGTAGTCTGTAAATAGTGACCCTTCAAGTTACTCAGAAAGTGCTGCCACTAATAGCTCCAGTAAATGTGCATCATTTGCTGCCGATATCTGATCTGGTGTAAATAACAAAGCATGCAGCGTTAATGATATTCATATGCAAACACGCTCATAACATTTTCCTGCTTTGTGCAGTTTGCTCTTGTTTTGTGTCTGAATTTGAAGAGAGGCCAGCGTTTTTTGCACTGGCAGCGCATGTTAAACCAAGTAGTTCAGCCTTTTTAGCCTGATTGCTAAAACGCCCTCGCCGTTTATTTGTCGCCACTCTCACAGCGCTCTCAGTTGAACTTTTAGAACAGTGCCACAATCGTCGATGTCACTTCTCTCTCACAACAAATCAAAATCCAGAAGGGGCAAATATTTTGCACACTGATCTAAAACACACCTAGCAGACACCCGAGGGAAGCAGAAGTCAACTTTCTTAACCTAGCAGCAACAACGAGCGCTGGTGAGAAGCGCTCTGAAAAGGAGGGGAGCATAGACTGTAAAGAAGAAAAATGCCGGCGCAAAAAGTCCTCTCTGTGGACACGGGCCCTTATTGTTCATTTAAATATTCACCGCGCACAGAGACGCTGTTTGCTCTGCAGCTCAGTTAGAAGTGCAAGTAACCGTGCATGTGCATTTGTGAATTTGTGAATTAGACAATGTTTTTTAAACTCAAAAGCTGCGCATTCCTTTTGTGAATAAGGCCCTATGACTTCTTTTTGCAGTCTGTGGAGCGGCCCCCTGCTGGACATCAGAAAGAATGCAGGTTTAAGGCTCGTATGAATGTTCATGTTTGATAACAACGGAAAGATTTTTTGGAGGTTTTCAGATGTTTATTTAATTGAAACAGCACTTTTAACAACCTGATAGATATCAATATTTCATTAATAACAGTTGAGTGATAACTTTCAGTGGTCACGCCTGTCAGCATGATGGACAATGTTATCTCCTGTCACACATTAAGGAGCTGTCACTAATCTGTCTCTGAGCCAGAGGGAGAGAGCGCAGTCACAACTATGACTCCAGCTCAAAGCTACATTTATCCTCCTCTTATTGCCTCTCATATATTAATTGCATCGCTCAGTTGGGTGACATCTCATCCTTTCTCACTACAGGGATGAACTAATGCTCCTTGAAGCTCACATTATGAATGAAGCGGAGCAGTGAAGACGCGCTGACAGACGAGCCTCTGCAGCAATCAGTCAGGACCAGTTACCTTTCATATTCTCCGAAACGTTCATGTAGCGCTGCAGTCAGCGCTCATCAGATTATAACAGCAGAAAATATCAAAAGGTTTATCCTTCATGTAGTGCCATTTTTCAAATCCTTATTACACCTCACTGGAAAACGGCGCTGGAAACACCGACTTAGTGATTTGGACGTCAAACTATGTTAAACAGCTGTCCTGAAAAAGGAAAAATAATGAATTATAATGAGATATCCAGAAAATTATGGTTTTATTGCCTGCATTTTTACTTATTAGTAACATCTACAGGTAAAATACAAACACATTACCAATAACAAAAATTTAGGCTTTAGTTTCGAGTTCAAAGGACAATAACTGAGCTAAATATTTTACATTCATCAAACTGAAGTCTGGAAGAACTTACAAAACGGCTATTATGTTACGGCCTTGGACACAACCCCTGTGTTTTCTTGTGTTTCCCCACCCCCCCTTGTGTCTGTCTGTTAGTCCCATAGACTGTAAATATTAAGCCTGAGTGACGTCAGCCATCTGTTCCTGCAGGGGGCTCTGGAGGCTCATCTGCAGCAGCCGCCATGCTGGAAATGCTGTCTCAGCTTTTTTTGTACCAGGCTGTAAACATGTTTATTTATGCTGTAAAAACGGCTTTTCTGCCTGTGGTGTGACTTCCCTTGTTCCTGCAGCCAGCCTCTAGTGGACACTCGATGAACTGCAGGATTTTGTACTTCCTCATTGGCTTCATTTTTCAAGACCGGAGGTTGCCCCTCAGTTCCTCCCTGTTTCTGTGTGTTTTCCTGTGTGGCTCATCAGTCTCCAGTCCTGCCTCCTCATTACCTGGTCAAGCCTCTCCACCTCCACCTCCACCTCCACCTCCTCCTCCTCGCTGCTCACCTGTTTCCAATTCTACAATCAACCCTGCAGTGTTCAAAAGCCCCTGAGCTTTCATCCACTCGATCACCTGCTCACAAACAGTGGTATCGATAGAGTCAGCCTTTTTTTGGATTAAGAAGTTTGTTCACTAGTTTCTTCAAGAGTTTTTCTGTATTGTTTAACATTTGTTTCCTTGATGCCCTATAGTGTTTTTTCCCACCTGCCTGCCACAACCTCTCCTTCGCTTCTTCTCATTGGACAAAAATCCAATCCCTTTAAACCTGCCCCTGTTTTTGTGTATTTGTGTGTTTGTGTGTTGCGCTTGCGTCCAGCCTCAAGTCAAATCGTTACTCATTAAGACATGATGACGGGGATTTGTTATCTAAACACTGAAATCTATAAATGCACTTGTAGCCCTGACGGTGCTCGATAATAAGGCCTGTCCTCCTGTCAAGAAAAAGTGAATAAGCTGTCGGTTAAAAAGAAGAAACTCATCTTGTTTTGTCATGTATTTTTCTTGATGGACTAATCAGGAGTGGGTCGACAAATTAGAAACCACTCACAGTTTAATATTTTATTTTCAGATATACAGAAAAGTTCAGCCCAGAACTGGTTTTACCCATTTCTCAAGGATTTGACTTTTTGCCTCCATTTTCTTGTGTTAAGTTTCTTTTATTAACTCATGCAGAGTCTTCAGTCGTGTGCTTTTATCTGTTATTGTGATGTCAGACTTTGATTATAAATGTGCCTAAAGATCTACAATTTATTTTCAATGGCACTCAATGAATCTTGGGAGATGTTTGTGAAGAAAAGGTTAAAACACCACAATTTTATTTGTGGGCTTTTTATGCCTTTACTGTAGAGATAGGACAGTAGACAGAGTCTGAAAACCAGGAACAGAGGGAGTGAGGAACTACATTCAGGAAAAGAGCCTCAGGTGGGGCTCAAACCCAGGACCGTCCGCCTGCCAGACTTTAGTCTCCGCACATGGGGCACGGTCACTAACCACTATACTACCTGCGCCCCTTTTCCTTCTACTTCACTTTTTTTGTAAAATAAACCCATCCAGTCCTTTGTTTGTGGTCTGCATAAGTCTTACAACACAGAGAAAAATGCTCTGTTTCAAATTTGCTCTCCTTGTGATGTCACAGTGGGATTCTGGTATCTCCACACATGGACTCCACCCCCAGACAAGAACAAAACTTTTTCACAGGTCTGCAATTTTTATTCTCGCTAGCGAAGGAATGATGTCTACCAGGAAAACTCAGGGGGGGCTCATTGCATTTAAAGAGACACACACACCAAAACAGAGCCTTCTGAGAGCTGGTTTATACACGGTCACAAACCTCCTCTGGTGCTTGATTCATGTTATATTTTGACCAAATCACAGCACAGATGTTTCATTTAGACCACAGGGGACTGTTTGAAAAGGTGGAACAGGGGGATAATATGTCCTCTTTAAGTTGAAAACAATCACTGACTGTGTAAATTTACCAAACTGGAATCAGGTTGTTACATCACACAGAAAGCACTCAGATTAAGTCGTGTGTGTCTGCGCAAAAAGGTTTCAAGCAAAGTCATAATATCTTTAAAGTTGTTCTTAATCATAGACGCTGACATTGATAAGCTGCAGTATGAATGAGCTGCAGGCGGACAACTCTGTCATGTACGGTGGCCGGTCAACTGCAAAAACATTTCACAAATCCCCCAAATATATGTTCACACTCTGATTTCTTTTCGCCTCGACTGCTGCAGTCGTCTCTGTGAAGGAATCACTCAGCCGGCCCTGTCTCGCCTGCAGCTGATTTGAAACACAGCAGTGAGAGTCCTCAGTGGTACCAAGAAGAGAGAACAGATCTCCTCTGCAACAGAGTGGAAATGATGTAAACGTGACGTCACGCAGGCAGAAGTCACTGCGTTTACATCCAGTGAGTGACAGAAAGCGCATAGCTACTGAGAGGCCTCAGAATCCTCATGTTTCTCTATTTCCTGTTGTGACTGTTACATTCTTAAGATCTCTGTGTGTCTGTAGTGTTTCCCGTTTTATTTTGTACTCCTTATCCCCAGTGTTTCTCGTCTTGTCTTACTTCCTCCCTTTGTCTGGTTTCCCTCCATGTTGATCTCCCTGATTGTCCTCACCTGTCGTGGCTGTTGGTTTTCTCCTCATTCATTTTTTGTTGGATTTTGAAGAACTTTGTTTGGTCAGTAAAAGTAAGATTTCTGTTTTTTGCATTTTGTGTTAAATTTAGGGAAGAATGTGTGACATGTTACACATAAATATATCAGAAGTGGAGTATCTCCTGTGTAAATGTGTCTCTGAGTCATGACTGTCTACAATGAGTGAGAAGCTCGAGTCCCGCTGGCTGTGTTGTTGTCTGAGCCGTGTTTACATGGACGGGACGGCCGGCTCCTCCCCTTGTGTATAAAATCTGTTTTAGTCAAGGACTAGAGAGAAGAAGAAGAAGAACATACTCACTGATTATTTGGATGTTAGTAAGAGGTTTTAGATCACGATCATTCTGTGTCAGTTTACATGCAATGTGAAGCTACGAGCTAACTAAAGAGCGCTAACATTAGCATGCTAACACAACAATGCAGGGCACAGGCAATCATCTCGAGCCAAGAACAATTTTGTCTGCCGCTTGTGCTTTATGGTGCGTTCTAAATCCTAACTCCTTCGTGTGAACTCGCGTGGAGGGGAGTTGGAGGTGTGTCGTTGCAGGAGAGCGGGGCTTCAGGATGGAGGAGGCGTGGCTAAACAGCAGTTTGTTTTGGTTTCATGCTGGAGCTCAAGAGCTACATCGACTGGATCAAAAAAGCATCAGCCTTAAAAACCGATCCCGTCTTTGCTGCTGAATCATGTGTACCTTTGGTAAATTGAAGAGTCGTACTATGTGTTGTTGTCAGATTAGAAATAGTCGAGAGGCAGCAACAGATTATCAAATGGCCAATATATTAGTTTACAAAACAACATGATCATTTCCTGCAGGCTCTTTCTGTACTTCCCGGGCTGTTGGGAATGTTGTCCACACATCGATGTCCACAGAGCGCTCTGTCTTTGGTCAATTTGAGGGATCTCTGTTGAATCCAAACATCCTTAATTTAAGATGATATTTACCTCATCTCTCCTCCTGAAAGCCGCCATGTTTCAGACTGCTCTGCCACTCAGCCCAACAGAGGGGGCGTGTCCCGGTGGGAAAGTGACGTCAATGCATACCCTGTATACCGTCCCGTAACCATCAGAGATCTGGAGACCAATCACTTCTCTCCATCCTACTCACTCAGTGGAAAACAAAAATGATCAGGCAGCTGCGTCTTAAAAGTAAAATTTCCCCCTTAGTGATACCTTGAAGTCGTCTATTCATCTTAAATTGTTAATCGTGTGCATGAAGATTAGATTTTTGTATTTTTTAAGCCATGCTGTCTGTGTCACGACTTTGACCTCTTCTAACGTTAATCTCTGGTTTTCTCTTCTGTGTATTTTTCCCTCTGTTGTCTTGAAAAGTGCTTCATATATAGACTGAGTTGTTTTGACAAAAGGAGCGTCGACCCAGCAGGAGAGCGTCCGGTCTGCCAGATGGTCAGTCCTGCCCTGACTGTTAAACACCCTCGATGCTTCAGAAATATGTCAGCAGTGTCAAGTTAACATCATTTTGAACCACACGAGTTGAGACAAGATATCCAATATGATTGTTTTAATGTGTTGAAATTGATTATAATGTCTGATAAAAACGGGTGAAAATAAATTGAGCTAATTACCCGCCTCTAAGCTCGTTCTGCAGATGTTCCTCTGGTGCCAGACTCTAATGCATCAGGCATATTAGCTAATGGACAGCAACTATTACACGCCAGTTGAAATGATCCTGGCTGCGTCTTGAATCAATAAAGCCGTTCATTACTGGAACACCTCTTTCCTTGGTTTGCTCTGATTTGATGAAAGCAACAAAACAAGGCACAGATGCTCCAGAATGACCCCCACCATTCTTCAGATCTGCACCTTCCTGCCCTCCTGCAGCCATGCAATCTTCTTCCAACCTGTGTTTCTGCAGCAGAGGCCAGAGGTCCGGCCTGCCCCCTTTATGAGCTGTTAGAAACCCAGAAGCCGTCCTGTAACCGGCCAATTAAATGAGAAAGAGATGACGAGGGGCTGCATACCTGCCCAGAAGAAACCATAAAATCTAATAAGGAGGGAAAATGTGGAGCGTGCAGGAGGCTCTGCTCCGCATAATCGCAGCCGGGGAATTCCCCCCTGCCACTCCTAGGCCTGATCCTCACTCGGGACCACTTCTACATTTCAAACTGAGGAGCAGGAGAGGAAGGAATCCCATCATTCATCATGTGATAAAGTGTAAAATCCAGATCCCAGATGGACGATTCAGCCTGAGAAATACGGATGAAATGTGAAGCCTCTGTAGATGTGAGGGATGGGCTCGTCGGCAGCAGGCGTGCACACATGATTATATGCTGCAAACTTATACAACCAGGAGCCATTAACCCTTTTTGCTGCATACATAAATATAAAACTGTGCCATTAAACCTGACAGCTGGAATAATGAGACAACATGCGAGGAGCTGCTTTTCTTGCCTTATATTTGCAACACAGGCTTTAAAATGTTGTTTCATTTGTTGGTCTGCAGAGCCATGATTGTCCTGTCAGACCTCTCTATTGCTTGGTATACATTTAAACACACAGTGTCACACAGAACAGACAGCACAGACGGAGAAAACCAGAGTAGGACTGTAGTTTCACACAGGGGGGGGGGGGGGGGGGTCGCCTCTGCAGAGGGAGGGGGCTGATTCAGATTCCATGCAGAAGCACTGATCAGCTCACTGAATCTGCACAATCTGTTTGATCGCAGAGAGGAGGAGGTGTGTGTGTGTGCGGAGGCGGAGAGACCCTCCTCATAAATACTGAGAGCAATCTGAGAGGAGACGATCAACAGGAGACCAGCAGGAGGAGGCGTCCTGCTTTCACAGCGAGCAAGGAGGAAAACAAACAGAGAGTCTCCGTTTTTTTATTTTCACAGGTTTGGCCTTCATTCTTTGGATTCCAATTAAACTGGAATCACCGAGTTTATAGCTGAGACCTGGGAACACGACACGTCATTAAAAGAAAGTCAAATTAGTAACTCTTTACCTGAAGACTCGGCACGAGTCAGCACATGCACACGCTGGAATATTTGCTTATTGTTCAAGTATGGAGTAACTGATGAAATGAGACTGTGAATACAAATGGAAAAAAGGAGTTTCCTTCACTGTTTGGCCGTGCTAGGACTAAATCTGTTTTCTCACATACTGTATGCCTTCCTGAACATTTCATGAAAATTTTCAGACAAGGCTGCCCCTGAAATCCTCCTGAGTAGCTTGACTTTTATATTGTTCACACATGCACCTTACAGCGGGAGACTTTCCCTGTCGACAGGAACAGTCTCAGTCACTTAATCATGCAACATGAGCCTGACGCTATGACGCCAGTTTTTGCCTTTAAATCGAAGTATATCAGTGTCAGATGTAGTTCAACATCATCACTGTATCGACAAAAGAGCGGAGAAGAACATACTGGTGAAAAGAAAACTAATGAAGCAGTTTCAATACGTGCGTATGGTCGTGCGCCGGTTGCAGGATATTATCGTTACCACCCCTTCCCAGGGTAGTGGGGTTGGCAGGAATAATTCCAAGAAAAGTCAGACTTCAAAATGTGGCTGTTTGCATTCACACATGCATCTTATCCCATAAACTGCAGGAAGATCTCTTGATTTCGACCGCCTGCTTCGACCTCCACCTCAGCGGCAAGGGAGTGTGGACAACAGTAACAACAGAGGAGGAATACAAAGAAGAAATCCTTCCTCTTATCTTATCCCAAATGCTCTTTTTGTAAAGCGTCTTGAGATAAAACAATTGGCGCTATACAAATAATGATTGGTAGACTTTTTCTTTGTATTTGTGAAAGCACCATTAGAGATTGGGTGAGGAGCTCAGACTAGAGCCGCTGCTCCTTCACAGTCAGCACGTTTACATGATGTTGGAAAAAGCTGAAGTATTGTGTTTGTCCGACTGAAACTGGACTTTTAGAACACATGTAAACATGTTAGTCTGACTGAAAACACACACACACACACACACACACACACAGTCAGACACACACACCGTTGTGCTGCCCCGCTGGCTCCACTGATCTCATATCACCCCTGTACTACCTCCGAAGACTAAATGGAGGGGAGGATGACTTTGTCCCCCCCATTACACCACTAAGAAATTAAGATTGACAGCAGAACGTTACAGGGACGAAATATCGCCCCTTGAAACGGTTATCTGAAAAGGGCTCATAACACCTGACCTGGGAACACCTCAGGATCCCCCAGGAGGAAATGGAAAAGGTTCCTTTGGAGAATCGGCCCCAGAGGAGCAGAAGGAAATGGAGGGAAGGAAAGTACTGGGCAGCAATTATAAGTTAAACAGAGAGCACAAATCATGCTTATAGGCTTGACACTACTTCCATTAGACCAAATATGGAAGCATGGACTAACATGCACATTTCTTACAATATGTCAAAGCTTCAAATGTATTTTTCCTTTTGCAGTACAACTATACGGAAAAACATTTTTCATCTGGATCATGGAGCCATGCAAGCACTTCCTACATGTCCCAGGATGCACTGCCGCCTCTGCTGTGCTCTGCTGCTTTGTGTCAGCCGTGTTCTCTTGCTGGTATATGCACGTCTGAATATCCAGTCAACCAAAACACAGTGAAATGTTTCTTCTTCTGGAGACCAGAAGCTGAAAGCTGCAATGACTGCAGGCACCTTTCACGCTTTAAACCTAACCTAGAGGGAGGGATGGTAAAAAAGGAAAAATCAGGGAAGATTTATTTTTACAGCTCAAAAGAAAAACTTGAACTACTGAGAAACTTAGCTGCAGTCACTGACTCAGACCTGATCCAGGCTCGTGCATCATCTCTTAACGAGGGCCAGCTAGTGAGGGAGGTGGAATATTGCTGTCAGGGGGAGCATCCATCCAAGGACCACCCATCCCCCCCCATAGTAACTGTAATGAGACGGTCCGGTCTACAGAGGATCCTTTTTGCATCACCAGTCCTGTCGCCTTGCATCCTGAACAGCTGCACCGGAACAAGCTGACATAATTTTAGAGATAATTTGACGTTTCAAAGTCTCTTCTGTTTTTTTTAACATTAGTATTTGTAGTGATTCAATTGAGTTGATATGGTAAATGGTAAATGGACTTGAGCTTGTGTTATTCCTTCTAGTCTTCTGACTACTCAAATCGCTTTTATGACGCAGGTCACACCTACACATTCACACACTGATTACAGAGGCTGATGTGAGTATTAACTGATCCCATTCATACACACTTATACGCCAACGGCCGAAGCAGCGGGAGCAACTTGGGGTTAAGTGCCCAAGGGCACATCATACATGTAGCTGCAGGAGGGGATGCAATTGAAAAAAAGTTGGTGGTGCTCAAAAAAAAAAAACGCTAGGTCAACGTTTTAGTCTATAATTGCATTCTTCATGCCATTCATAAATGTAATGCGACTCTTTGATGATGTATGAAGGTTTACAAAAGAAATGGTGCGCAATAAATCTTGGGTTATGTTGGGACCGTTTGTCAGCAACATTTGAAGGAGCCTTTGAAACAGGACAGCCTTGGCCTCGCCGCTGTGATGTAATCAGCCTTCTAATGCAAACTCCAAAGAACGCAGCCCCTTAACATGGCATTGGAGTCTCTGCCATTTTGTGCTTGCTGTTCAGCTGTGGCTACAAACAACATTTGATTCCCATTTCTGTATTCTCACACAGCTAACAGCAAGCTAATGTTTTATTCATTTATTATTCACATATGTTTTTGTTTTTTTTGGACTCTGAAGAGAAATAAACTGGAATAGATAAGCACTCAGATGTGAGTGAAGAAGTATTCTTAATGAATAAACATACAGCGTCTGCAGTACAGGATAACGTATGTTGTGTGGAGGATCATGATAAGAGAGTAAGCCTAATTATCCCCCAAACTTTCCATCAATAAAATCCAGAAACAGTTGAAGTGTTGTTGTGTTCCCAGATCTCAGAACAGGTGATCATGATTCAGCGCTGCAGAAATAACGGCCAAACCTGGAAAATAAGACCTCGGCTGTAAGTAATCAGAATGCTCCTTATCATCAATTCTTGTACACATAAAACCAACACTGACATTACTCTGCATAAGTATTAAGATGTAACACACTGTACATCACTGCCATGCATTGCATTTGGAGTACGGGACCTCGGCTGAGGAGTAAGACCCATTTTGTATATACTAGTTGCATTTCGTTTGGAGCTGTCAGCACCTCTCGGGCTCCGGAGTCCAGGTAGTTTGGTTCAGAAAAGATTGCACAGTGAAAACTATCCCCCGTCCTCCTGCACACCTCGATTCCTCCTCCATCATGGTGCCGTTCACACCATGTCCTGGAAACTACAAACTCATTTTTGCATCCACACACTCGTTGATTTATCGCATTGCTGCGACCACACTGGACTGATCTGTGACAGTGTAGGGTCTGCATATATCTACTCTCCTTCATTATATAAAACTTTTACCAAATCCAGCAAAGAGAGCGCCGGAACACCCAGGTATAAATGTTCCACTCAAGGTTCAGAACGTTTTGGAAGATCTTTGTGTGAAAAAGTACGAATGATCCGGAACTTGTGTCCGTCTCTGTCTGTGGTTAAATCTTAGAATCCAGGATAAAATGTCTTAAAATCCTCCTCGTGTTTGTATCCTTAAGTCGCCTCATCATTGGAAAGGCCCTGATCCAAAACTTTTATCCCACTGGGAGCACTGGTGCTCCATCTGGTCCAGCAGTTTCTCCACCGAGTCCTCTTTGTTCTCCAGCTTCAGGTACCGCCTCCCGCTGCCCAGGTCTAACCGAGGCCAGCTGCTGTGCGTATGCTCCTCTGTGGCTTCCACGACCTGCGGGGGGATGTTCACGCAAACCTGTGACCCCGCCTCTCTCCTCGTGACTCCACCCTCCTCCTCCTCCCGCTGTGGTGTTTGCCGTCCTTCAGTTTGACGCACTCTCGTCTGGAGGAAGTAAGGTTTAGTCCTGTAGCTCATACTGTGACAGCGCCTCGGGTGGGCAGCAGGGACCTCCACCTCCTCCACCCCCAGTGTGGACATGGAGCTGGCCGACAGGAGGCAGTTGTTGAGTTTGACGTAGGTGGGGGGCTGCGCGTGGAAGCTGTTGCTGTCCTCCTGCCCAGCTCCACCCTGCGTGTTAAAGTCAGTCTGACTGGAATTACAGGAGTCAGAGTGGGAGGAGTGGAGGGAGGGCGTGGTCTCGGACTCCTGGTGGTGGAGGACAGCCTGCTGGTAGACGCCCTCCACGCCGTCCTCTTGGTCTATGTGGGTTCTGGTCTGCAGCAGGGGCTCGGAGGAGGTCATCTGCTGCAGACACAGGATGTTGAGGTGGGCTGCGGGTAAACTGCTCACCCACTGGTAGTGTTTGGCCATCGAGTTAGCCGCAGCGATATCTGTCAGGTCAGCCGAGGGCACCACCGCCGACACCGAGCAGATCACACTCCGCATCTGAGCCAACAGCATCTGGGTCTCTCTGTCCCGGTTCTCGTACAGGACCGTGTTAGCACAAATGAGGATGAAGAGCCCCACGCCCATGATGACCGGGCCCAGCAGCTTCATCCTCTCGCTGTGGATGAGGCTTGGCGTGGAGATGAGGCCTTTCGCTCCCATAGTCAAGCCAGAACTCTGCGATTCAGAGATACCAGACCCCAGGAGGGATGACCTCAATACACGGTAGGGCCAGTATCCCGCCACAGCCAGAGCCGTCCCCACCACCACCACAATGATCCCCAGCACCAGGAAGGCTCCAGGCATCGAGCGCATACGGAGCTTTCCACGGACCCCCCGCGCCTTCTTCTTCCTGCCCCGTAAGGTGAAGCGACGCTTCCGTTTGCAGGACGGTGAAGCTGTAACACCTTCAGCCTTCTGGGTCTTCATGGCAGCGGTCAGTCCAGATCTCCTGGTTGCAGCCGGTCAGAGGACTGTAGGGCGGAGAAAACATCAAAGGTTAATGCAGCCTAAACAGAATATCAACAGCTGTTTTCACACATGCACTCCTGAAATTGTCCCCATAGTGTGAAGTTTTCCCAGTTGTCTGTGGGCAATCAATCAAATTGGTTTGAGTGTGGCTTATCGCAGTGCTAACACAGCAAGTCTTCAGCCCTCCTTGCAGGTTAAGGTCCACATCCTGTGCTGTTACGCATTGCTCCAGCCGATATGCCGATATATAAGTTTTACCTGAGACAGCCTGCATACAACTTAATTTTTTCTGCATGTTGAATTTGGCCCCGGCGGCCAAGACACAAGACCGGACTGTCGGCAGCAGTCGTCTCGCCGCTATATTTATAATTTTTCGCCATTATCAGCTTTCTCCATAGAGCCTGTTAGCATAGCTTCCAAGCAATATGGCGGACGTTAAGTTTTGATTCTGGGAGTGAGTTCCCACCCACTGATCTGTGATTGGTCTGTAGCTTCAGTGGTCGAAAATGTGAGGAACTAGCATTGTAGTTTCACCCCGCTAACCGCAACAGCTTCCGATGATGCAAAATTGCGATTTTTGCGTCATCGGAGGCTCCTTGTCAAACTTAGAAATACAATAAGAGTTCAAAAGGACAAACTGGTGAGCAGAAAAGACTTTAAAGCACCTTAAGTCCGCTCACTAGTCGCAGGATATAAACGTCATTACTCTCGCCCACTCGCTCGCTGTAAACTTTCACACATCAGCCCATCCCAACTTCATGTGGAAAGTCTGAGGGAAAAATATGGCTTTAAGTGTTCACACATGCAGCTCACACAGAAACTTTCAGTAAATATTTCAGGAGGTTTGTGCAGGTGTGAAAGCACCCTAAGTTAAAGCTACATTACAAGACTAGATGTGTTGGCATTTTCATACCGTAACATGCATTTATTATAGACTGGAATTGCACTCTGCTCTTAACTTTGTGACAGAATCAGGATGAGGAGAGAGATCTTATTGTTTTTAAAACATCAGAGCTTCAGAGTGTCTGTAACAATCTGAGTTTGCTGTTCGTACAACTAAATAGTTTCCTCCTGAAATGCATCCTATCTGTCACCGTGACAGAGTAACACTTCACACATGGACGCCTGGAATCCAGACGTATTTATCCCTGTTTTAACTCACTCTGGTCCCCCCATTAGTCGGCGCTTGTTTACCACGCGGACTCCTTTTTCACCGTTAATCACCCCTGAATCTGTTCCAAACCTCTGTGTCTGTGTGGAGCTTGTAAATCCAACGAGGTACAAAACAAAAGTAGTGAAACACTCACACATGTGCCGTTCTCCCGGAGCTCTCACACACTCATAAACAAAGCAGAGATGGAAAAAAAGTGCTTCAAACACTCTGACTGTAATGACTGAGAGCCGCTCGGTCCGTTAAGTGATTTCACTCCACTTATCGTCTGACACTCTCTGAGAAGTCATTCCTCCCTCCACCTTATATAAATGTTTATGTTCACATTCAGAATCAAAGACGCCTTAGCTACAACATCGGCTCAAAGATGTTCTCAAACTTTTACTCACAGGAGACAGAAAGAAAAAAACCCACCTCCATCCGAACCGACACCAACAGATTTATTTATTAAGCATTTTTGAAAAAGTATAACACTTAGAAAGAACACCTTGTTAGCATCAAAGTGTCTAGTTCTTACTCTTTTGTTATAATAGTTCAATCTTTTCATGATGAGGTTTCCCCTCTTCTTTGTGTGTTTACTTCTCATGTGTTACAGCAATCCCATCTGGAGCTGGCATTGCTGTAACCGCTGCAGTGTGTGGTATCGGTTTGCATGCTACATACTTGTCCCTACACAAATAAACGCTATATAAATAAATAAATACACTTCTTCCACTTAACATCGTCCTCTGTGCTCGCACACATCTCCCCTGCAGAGTTTCCAGTGTTGGGAAATCTACTTTGAAAATCAAGTTTGCACTCCAGCACTGAGAGCAAGCTGTACCGTACATTTGATTATGCAGGTACATCAGGGGTTTGAACAATTTAGAAGGGGTTTAGGGGGGGTTTGAGGTTGTTTCAGGTCTTTCTGTCTTTATTTCAGAGAGGAAAAGTGGATAGAGAAGATAGAGAGAGAGGGGAATGACACGCTGGAAAGGACCTGCAGGTCGGATTTGAGCCCAGCCCCCCCCCACCCACCCACCCACCCTGCTTGGAGGCCCATTCCTCGATACATGTGGTATGACCTAACCGCTAGGCCATCTACGCCCCAGCTTTGACAATTTTATGACCTTAAAGGCCCTGACACACCAAGGAGATTGTCGGCCGCTGGTCCTAGTTGGACCATCGGAAAGCGATCGTTGCCCTAGTTTTTGCGTTGTGTCAGGCGCCGTCGATACCCGTCTGCCTTTTTTATGGCCTATTCGACATGTTGAATCGGCATCAGAGGTTGTGAGAGGAATCTCTCTGATTGGCTGTTGGGAGGTTTCATTTCTCTCCAGCTCTCCTCTCAGGTTCAGGAAAGCCCCTTGAGCATGTCGCTGTAGTCTCCATGCTTTCACCCATTAGTGCGGTTTCTCCTTATTTGTCTCCTCCGCCTCTTCTTTTCTTTTTCCACTAAAAGACCAAAGGCTGACAACGCCAGCGGCATTTTCAACTTTTTTATCAGACATTATTCTCCATTAGTAGACTACTTATAATACGAGTGGTGACCGACAGCGGTGTGAAAATGGTCTTCTCGTATCATAACAACGGACTAAACTACATAAACCTTTATTTGGCATAAAATAACTATTCAACCGTATGTCCCAATCACCCAGAATTCACCATGTGTGCAGCATTAAACCTGATTCTGTTTCTTTTTATTATTGTTATAATACATCAGTCAGACACCTGTAAAGTCCAAGTTGGAGGTTTTCACCAAGTAAGATTACTCAACAAGCATGAAACGTCCAAGAACTTTTAAACTAGCCTTCATCTTATCAGCCCGTATCCATTAAACACAAATACAGTCAGGGTGAAACAAAGAAATGTCAGGGTCCCTGAAAGTCCCGGTGAACCGCCCCCCAAGTTATGTACGCTTTACAAAATGACCCCGACTAAAGGTCAAACCTCCAAGCTTTTACCGGGGAAATCATAACACAGCCGTCTCCGTGACAACATGGCAAACTCCATCTGCTCATCAAGTCAGGGAGCGGTTGACAAATCACTACCACCTGTCAATCCTCACGTCAGAGTATGGTATCTTCTGATCTCCATGGAGACGACCAAAACACAAAAAACCAAAGGCTTCCAAACCAGAGTCCACAAACCAATCGGTGACGTCATGGTGGTTACATCCAGTTCTTATTAAAAGCAAGAGTCGTGTTTGATTTAATTCAAGTCAGTTTGAGCTTTTAAATTCTTCATCATGTCTGAAACACTTAGGTGGTAACAAACAACTTCAATGAATAACAATTTGGATTTAAAAACGATGATTTGTTAGAGTTCCGTGTCTTCATGATGGTCAGTCGAACGTCTTTGGGTTTTTAAATGATGAAAAAGATCCAAGGTGAAGATGTCACCTTGATCTGTGAGAGCTCATGATTCACAATCTCACATTCAGACATTTTACAGACTGAATTATTCATCTGTTAACAAAAGAAAATACCTCCAACCAACTGTAGATTTTAACAGCATCGTAAATGTTTGACTCTTTATTATTTATACGCAGCTCAGATATCTAAATGTGTTTTCTTGTTTTATGTGAAGTCTCATACCTGCAGTCCGTCTTACTCACACATCCTCAGTTACAGTTGTGCAGAAACGCTGCATTATTCACACAGCAGTGTGTCAGTGTTCTGCTCTTTTCCTTTTGGGTTATGACTGCAGCAACACTAACATGTTCAGTGGAGAGAAGCTGATTCACAGCAGACTGCATCCACCACCAGCTCTGACACACAACTTCCACCTCCTGCTGCAGGAGCCGAGAGCCTCCTCGCAGCTGCAGGACTCAGTTAACCACACAGGAATCACTTCTTTGATCGAGTTTAAACTGCGTTATCCTGCATGAAACAGGACGCAGATGTATACAGTGAGTGTGTTTGAGCCCCTTCATCCTCATCATCATTATCATCATCATCATGCCCTTCTGCTGGGCTGCAGCCAGTTCACCGCCGGGAAGCCACAAGTTGTGCTTCATGGTGTGAACAGACTGTTATGATTACCTGACCGCCCGGTGAGGGGGGCAGAGATAAAACATATCAACAATTCATCTGATTCTCTGTGATGAAAAATGGAACAGTCGAGATCATTTTCAAAAAAAAAAAAAGCTCTAAAAGCGTCTTAATTAAAGGTTATTAAAGAATACTGCAATCAACAGGAATAAAGCGTTTACCTTAGAGATGGAAAGCCGTGCCGAGCCGTGCCGGACTATCTCCCCTAGAGCAGTGTCTGCTGTGTGGAGGCTCCAGACAGACAGGACCGAGTCTGACCGACCGAGCTGCTGCATTCCTCTATACGGCAACACAGCAGCAGCCTCACGGTGCGCCGAGACAACACAGAACCGGCACCGGGTACCGGAATAACGCGTTTATTCAGCTCATCCAGCTGCAGAGCTGACCCGGACCAGAGAGAGAGAGAGAGAGAGAGAGAGAGAGACAGAGAGACCCGGGCCAGGAGCAGAAGAGAGAGAGAGAGAGGGACCTTGACTAGAGGAGAAAGACCAAGATCCAGACAGAGAGAGAGAGAGAGAATCCTCCAGGTTTTTGATCTCTCAGTAAATCCAGCAGCTGATCACTTCTGGAAACTTGCCGGGATTTGTCTCGCCTCCTGTTGCTACTTGTTCATAGTTTGAGGACGCAGAAGCTCCCGATTATTGGCGATGAAGAGTCTCCATCACAATCCAGCTGTTGAAACCTCTGTTGGTACCACGCAGAGCTCTGCAGCTCCTCCGCTCCGTCTGATAGAAACCTCCTCTCTCCTCTCTCACGCGTATAGCAGGAAGAGTCCAGCCTCTCCACAGTGTGTCTGCGGCCTCTCCGCACAACACGGTCAACTCCCCCCTCCCACTGTTCAGCTTGTTGTTGCTTGCTTTTTATAAAAGTAGGGGGAGGCAGGGGACGGCGGCAACCCTTCAGTGAATTACCCACTTAGGAGGCAGCATCATGGTTTCAAGTGTCTTAACTGCATTCTTTCCAATGTCCTCTAGGGGGCAACTCCGTCTAATTGTGTAGAGTCTATGATAAAAATGCTCCTACTTCTCATGTGATTCATTCCCTAAGTGAACAGCTTCCTGACGAGCTTATGATCACAATCAGTTCCACGTCTTCTTAAAGATGTTACGATGGCTTACTTTTCCATTTGGATCGATACGTGGTGATGCATATCCAAGCTTTCATCCGGATATGGCCAAGGAGTCAAACTGCTGAATCGCCTTAGTGTCTCTGTCCGCTTCTTATAAGCAGTCTTGGGACCTGACCAAGAAATAAATCTCTAGTGTTGACAATGAAGCCAATCCACTTTTTCATACCTGCAGTTCCTGTAGTGTCCACTTGGGGACAGAAAGACGACTAAGCTGCTAATAAACTCAACAGTTACCGCTTAAACCTCCCTGTCGATGCACGCCTCAGCCATATTGGATTTGAACTCGGGCTATTGAAGATTCTCCGACTTCGGGGGGGGGGGTGTTACTGACGTATCAAACCGGCAACTGGGAATTTCCGACTTCCGAGATCAAAGGGAACGCAGCATGATCCCCAGCTCCTGCAGCCACATGTCCGATGTGTCCTTATAGGGAAGACACTTAACCCCCAAGTTGCTCCTGCTGCTTTGCTGGCAGGGTATGAATGTGTATGAATGGGATTAGTTACTTCTGATGAACACTTTACTCAGCAGCCTCGACCATCAGTGTGTGAATGTGTAGGTGTGACCTGCGGTGTAAAAGCTCTTTGAGTAGTCAGAAGACTGGAAAAGAAACATACAAGCTCAAGTCCATTTACCATTTACCAAAACTGTTTCATTACATGTGTGGAGATCACACTGATCACCTGCTGTCAGTCTATTGTCGCGCAACAGTGACAGGATATAAACCTCATCCTCTCCCCGGTTGCTTGGGGTCAATTTCCCTGAATATTTCCCGCTGAGTTCTTACATCACTTACAGCTTTATCGGCCATGTGCTCACACCAAGAAATTTGACTTAAATTGACTGTGATCTCTGTGAACAAAGTGTAACATTAATTATCAAACAATAGAAAATCAAACAAAAAGGGAATATGTAGATGCCTGCATGAGACAACAGTGCAGTGGTGAGAAGTGAAAAAGATGCTGAAGCAAACATGTTTCATTTTCAACACCCCTTAAAATGTACAACTTTAAAAGAGACATAAACATGTTTACAGCCTGGTACAAAAAACATGTTTGGGTATCAGTAGCTAATTTATTTATTGGTAAAGACTGCACTGGCTTTATCTTTTTAATAACTTGTGTGTTTTTGTTTTGTCAAGCCTAAGAGTGATTCATCGTTTCATAATTAGGGCCGTGACATCACCCAGGAATAAGATTATTTATAGCTGATGTGTAAATCAGTTAATACTCCCTCAAAAATTCATAATAAAATCAAATAATCCCTAAAACACGCCCTCAGTCTCCTTATCGCTGACTGAACATGTTGCTGTTTGATGGTTTCAAACATTTTAGCTGCTCATTTTAACATTCACATCTTTGAATACAAATAGAGCTTGGCGAAAACAGACGTGGCTCTTTGTCGCCACCTGCTGGATACTGAAGTCACATTCACTTTACTTTAAATCATCTACCAGATTTAGGAGTCGTTTACCATTTTGTGACTGCACACACCTGGAACACATTAAAACTGAATACAGTTGTTACCATGGGTCATTTTAAAAGCATGATTACAAATCAAAGGAGTGTAAATGTTTCTAACTGTAGTTACCTGCTCGGATGGACATTTTTCTGGTCTTGTAAAATATGTACGTCGTTGTTTTTGTCATCTATTCGTTTTAATTGTACTCTCGAAATAATTGTTGCGAATAAAATCATTCGCGATTAACTAGTTGAACCATATTTTAACCGATTCCACCAGGGGTTCAAACTAAGTTACGTTTTTAAATATCTGTATTTGTGGATATCAAACAGTTAAATCAAACCTGGACAAGTTCTACGTTTCTATTTTCAACAACTTTCACTGTGAAGGGCAGACAACGCGTGAGGAAACGAAAAAGAAAACACTGTAGGAGCCGCTTTTCTCCATAGGGTGGCAGCAACGCGACATCAAGCTGCTCCACGCACCAACGAAGAAGAAGGAGAAACAAACCGGAAGTCGTAGCATACGCAGAGGGAGCCTGTGGACGGTGAACGCTTCTCTCTGGTTTTCACTTTAATTCATCAAAACGTCGTACGCAATGAGGTAATTTTACAATCACACGTGTTTGAACTACATCACGACGTGTCATTTTATTCAGTGTATTCATTTATGATCCTGTGTTTATAATGTAGCCCGAGTGATGTTAGCATGAAGCTAACGCTGAGCTTTGTTAGGGGGATGGGGTGACGGATTTATTATTTATTACATTAATTTATTGTGAATTAAAGGTGTCCTGTGTCATGCCGAGGATGTTTTAAATGAAATGTATTTAAATAATGTGTTTTATCCGGTTCAGTATTTAACATTGAGCCGTAGAAATGAATGAATGGATGAATGTCAGCTGAGCTTGTTGACATTGTTATTCACACCGATGATAAACAGATTCCTTCTTCCTAACAAAGTCAGATTTGTGTGATCAGTCCTGACATGTTTCTGGGTTTCTGTGTGCAGAGGGGACCGGGGCAGGGGCCGAGGAGGCCGCTTCGGGTCCCGAGGAGGACTGGTGCAGGGGTGAGTTCACTGTTTACTCATTTACCTCAACATAAAACACGGATCCATGATGGATCAATGTTGGGTCTTTGTAGATCATATAACTGAGAGTGAGGTGTTTTACCTGCTCTTTTGTTTACCTCTCTTGAGATAAGATTTGTTGTCAATCAAGCAATCGATTTGTATTTGTATAGCATCAACTCATAACAAGTGTTATCTCGAGACACTTTACAAAAAGCAGGTAAAAGAGAGGGGGAGAGAGGGAGGGAGAGAGGGGGAGAGAGAGAGGGGGGAGAGAGAGGGAGAGAGAGAGGGAGAGAGACAGAGAGGGAGGGAGGGAGAGAGAGAGGGAGACAGAGAGAGAGGGGGGGAGGGGAGAGAGAGAGAGAGGTGCCAGTTCCCCAGGTAGTCTAAGCCTGTTGTGAATTGATACAAATAAATATTGATTGATTTATACATCCCACCGGATTCTAGTGCAAATTCTGTGGAGCAGAGATTCCCCTGGTGTTCTGTCACGTGTCATATGTGTTGTTATAGTTTTTAGTGAAAATGGATGCACATCTTTTCATTCCCAATAAATGATGTCTCTGTTTTTTTTTTTTTTTTAATTCCTCTTCAGGTATCGTCCATTTGTTCCTCACATCCCGTTCGACTTTTATGTGGTGAGTAAAAAAACAACAACATTCAGACGCTTCCTTCATCTTGTCATCAAGTCTCGCCTGTCGCTGCTTTAGAAGAGTGACCTGGTTGGACTGCAGACTCTTATATACCAGAGCAACTCAAGCTGTGTAGCTTGAGTAGTAGCAGAGTAGTGGGATCCATGTTGAGGAGAAGATCTTCCCCTAACCCCCCCCTACCGCATCAGTCCTCCTCATGAGTGAACCGGGTCTAAATCAGACTGTCGTTTATCACAGTGTGAGATGGCGTTCCCCAGAGTGAAGCCAGCACCCGATGAGTCGGCGTTCAGCGAGTGTCTGCTGAAGAGAAACCAGGACCTGAGCCCCACGCCGGCCGAGCAGGTCAGTCCTGACGACACACAATGAACGGTCAACATTCAGTCTCGATGTTCACGTCTCCGTTCACTGACAGGATCCCTGTTTGTTTGTTTGTTTGTTTGTTTGTTTGTTTGTTTCCTGCTCTTAGTCGTCCATCTTGTCTCTGGTCACAAAGATCAACAACGTCATCGACAACCTGATTGTCGCTCCTGGAAACTTTGAAGTGGTGAGGTCTTCTCTCTGCACACCCTGAATGTCTGTGATTAAATAAAGAATAGGTACATTTAAATAACTGTACTGAGTGTAACAGTTTCTCAGATCGTCATCGGGGTCACGTTTTAGAGGTCAGACTAAACATCTGCTCTGCTGTCTGTTATTTTTCATTCAATAGAAATCAATCATGCTGTGAATAATATCAGCAAGTTGATAATATTCAAACTTTTTGTCTCTTCACAGCAAATAGAAGAGGTGCGTCAGGTGGGCTCCTACAAGAAGGGCACCATGACAACGGGACACAACGTCGCCGACCTGGTCGTGATCCTGAAGATCCTCCCGACATGTGAGTGACACGTCGCCTCATTTAAACTGTCTGTTCCCAACTCTTACTTACTCTCGGAAGGCAGTCAAGGCAGTCATGACCAACTTAAACACAAAGCTAAAAGAAAGGGAGTGTTTGAGTCAATCAAGCACCCTGTAGAGAACAAGTGACCTAGTGATCAAGTGATCAGACATTAAGGAAACATGTTATGTTGAAGTGCTGGCTTCTCTGACAACAATGCAGCAGCCAGTATGTCCTCCTTCTAACTTTACATTCTGCTCCTGAATGCTCTGGATTTGTTTGGACCAGAGAAGGTAAAGGCGGTTTTAAGGCTCCCCCACACGGCTGTTTTGGATGCCCCTCTGTTTGTCAGATATGAGAGCAGTTATCAGGTCAACAGGTGTTGCAGTGATGGAAGCGGGCAAGAGAAGTGGTTCAGATAGAAGTGATTGTACCCGACCTAAAAAGCCTCTGCATGTTTCTAGTAAGCTCCACGAGCAGAAACGTGCTCAAACTAGGATCAAGATTGGAGATGCTTTTGAAAAATGGAGAGAGGTTAGAACACAGAAAGGTTTACAGACCGATGCAGAGCTGGATAAACACTGAAGCTTCAGTGTCCACCACATGGCAACCTGAGAGAGCATCCACTTTAGAGAGGAGGGGGCGGGGGGAGACAGCTCTCTACAATGTTTAGAATTTAGACTGCAGTACCCGTTTTAAACACTAGGGGTCAGAGTTACATACTGCTCCTTTAAACACTCCAGTTGATGATGTTTACAAAAACCAAGTCATGTAATTGATGCAGAATTTAATCAGAGCCAATGTTATGAAATCTGAATGTGTCATGTTTCATGACATGATGATGTTTTTTGTCTTTCTCAGTGGAGGCCGTAGCTGCTCTGGGAAACAAAGTGGTGGACACTCTTCGCACACAGGATCCTGCTGAAGGTAACTCAAGTCAGGGAGTCAAATCTCCCCGTGTCACTTTCTCGCCCCAAGCACGTCACAGCGGGAGATGATCAATGTGTAATGTGACGTTTCTAATGTGGTGTGTGTATTTGTATGTTGCTGTGGTCAGTTCTGTCCATGCTGACCAATGAGACGGGCTTTGAGATCAGTTCAGCTGACGCTACAGTCAAGATCCTCATCACCACCGTCCCCCCAAACCTGCGCAAGCTGGACCCCGAGCTGCACTGTAAGTGCGCACACACATCACATTTCATCTACAACACACAGACACACACACACACGAAGAATATAGAAACTGAGGAAACCCTGCATCCATGAAGTCAGAAATGTAAACAGCCACATCGGCCGTCCTGTCCATGTAAACACGGCTCTGACAACAACACAGCCAGCGGGACTCGAGCTTCTCACTCATTGTAGACAGTCATGACTCAGAGACACATTTACAGGATAGACTTGATTTCTCCTGACTGAAACCAACCATTTCTTTGACAAGTGAACTTTGTGTGAACAAAAGACTCCAGTCCTCGAGGTCTAATGCAGACTGAGATGATTCATTTGTGTTCTGTCGTTTCTTCAGTGGACATTAAAGTTCTGCAGAGCGCCCTCGCTGCCATCCGTCACGCCCGCTGGTTTGAGGAGAACGCCTCTCAGTCAACGTAAGACTCTCTGAGCTGCTGTTCATTCATACAGAATGTTAATCGTTACAATAAACTCACCTGATTGTGTCGCTCATGTTCAGGGTCAAAGTGCTGATCCGCCTGCTGAAGGACCTGAGGCTGCGTTTCCCCGGGTTTGAACCCCTCACTCCCTGGATCCTGGACCTGCTGGTGAGACCACGAGTCTGCAGCTTCACTCTCAAGACCTGTGACCGTGTGTTCATCACAGACTTTAACGGTTTTATCTGTCTGATGTGTTCAGGGTCACTTTGCGGTGATGAACAACCCGTCTCGGCAGCCTCTGTCCCTGAACGTGGCGTACAGACGCTGCCTGCAGATGTTGGCGGCGGGTCTCTTCCTTCCCGGCTCTGTTGGAATCACCGACCCCTGTGAGAGCGGGAACTTCAGAGTGCACACGGTCATGACTCTGGAGCAGCAGGTAGGCCTGATCCCGCCCCCCTTTTACTGCAGGACCCTCGGGGACGCCCACAGCATGGAAACAGCAGCTGCTTGATTCATGAAATCTCCTCCTAATGTTTCACGATGTTGACCGTGTGATAACACTTTAAATGTTTCTGTTGGTGTGTGTGCAGGACATGGTGTGCTTCACGGCTCAGACTCTGGTCAGGGTCCTCTCTCATGGAGGTTACAGGAAGATCCTCGGCCTGGAGGGAGACGCCAGCTGTAAGAATTGAACTCTTTAATGATTGTGAATGGGTTTACTTACAGGGAGGGAGACATGTTCCGCATTTTAATTTGATTTATTCTGGGGCTTTTTATTGGATGATAGGACGGTGTGTGTGTGTGTGTAAATGTGTGAGTCGTAAAGCTGGGAGAGAGAGGGCGGGGAATGACATGCTGTAAGGGAGCCACGGGTCAGATTCAAACCCAGACCCTTTGCTTTGAGGACTGTAGCCTCTGGTCACATCACGCATGATCTCACCACTAGTACAACCTGCACCCAAGACTTTATGAGTTTAGACTTTTAAGACATGCACAAAGAAAAATGACAAAAGCCCTTTAGAGATTGCGGTTCAGCCACAGCGCTGTAACAAAACTCTGAGGTCATAAAATCTAAAACGGCGTCACATTGGTGTCCCCGTTTGTGAATCCACGTTGCACTACAGTGTTCTGGAAGAATGAGCAGCGGAGTGTGAGCACACAGCGGGGTCTTAAGGCGCACACACACACTAAGACAAGCACACACACATTTCTGCCTCGTCGGCTTCCATGTTGCACATCGGCGCAGTCTTCCCCCCCATTATGCGCCCCCCCCCCCCCCCTCCGGTTGCTATGTCCAATGGCGGATCAGTGGCGTAGCGACTTCGCTCACCATTCCACATCCGTGTGCTACACACTCCATGCAACATGTACAACTAAAAGTTTTGAAGTCATTTGTAGCCGCAAGTTTCCTCGTGTTTGAACTCTACAGTGAATCATTGTTTATAACCGTCGTGCGTTTGTTGTTGCAGACCTGGCGACAGAGATGTCCAAATGGGACGGCGTGATCGTGACTCCGTCAGAAAAAGCGTACGAGAAACCTCCAGAGAGGAAGGAGGAGGAGGACGAGGCTCTGGAGGAGGGCGGAGACGGAGAGGACGAGAGCATGGAGACCCAGGAGTGACGGGAGACGAGCTCAGGTCAGAGCGGCCGCACACACCCCCATCACCACAAACACACAAATATCACACAGGTCATCGCTTTCCATCTTTTAATCCAAACAGCTCACCCTGCAGATTCTGACTCAAGTTATTGAGAAGTCCCCCCGTTCTGCTGTTTTTCCACAGAGACTGTTTGAGGTTATTTAAGGAGCCGGGCCCGTGCTGTCTGAACCAGCAGCAGAAACACAGAGACCACCGGCCTCATTATTTCTTGTCAGTTTATGTTGTTTTTCTTATTCTTTGTAAGTCCTAATTAAAACTTTTTTTAAGTTAGCCTGTCTTCGTTATTTGTGTCAGAACATCCACACACAGAATCTTATTTTACAGGTTCATACTTTAAACTGTTTGAGACAGGAATGGTCTGGAACGTGTTAAAAGTTTTTTTATTTAATAACTCACAAGTCTGGTTAAAACAGTAACACATACATACGGTGATATTTCAGACTGCAGCTCATCAAACGTTTCCTCTGATCCTAAATTATTTCTGCTCTAACATTTAAAGACATTTCGTAGTTAAGCTGCAGAAGTCGAGACGTTGACAGCCTTTTAAAGTCGGTGCAGAGCAGCAGTTCTCCTTAACAAGCTTGATGAGTTTGTCTTTGAGGCGTTCTGGACAATTCAGTAACGTAGAGGCTAGAAAATAAAAAAGATTAAACACAAATCAGACGGAAAATCAGGACTAACTTTGTGACAAACTTCAAAATAAAAACTGTATCAGTTGTCTGTCAGGGTGGACGATGTAATATAAAAATCTTAATTACATAGAAATATGGTTAATATCCAGTAATTTCTCATGAGACTGTTGTCTGACTCGCAGGATCATCTGTGTGTACGAGGCCAAGTTTCCTCCTATTTCACATCATGTATGGTTTTTAAAATACAGTTGACAATAATCAAAGAAAAAAATGACATTTTGGATCAACTTTTCAGACCTACACAAAACTCAAAGTTCCCAAAGTGGGCGGCATCACAGAGTGAACGCTGAAGTTTAACCCCAACTTTACACAGCAGACTTTCTCATGCAAGCGCTTCAGTAAAACACATGAACTCCAGGTGAGCTGATGTATAAACTCAAAAGATAATATTCAGTATTCGAATAATGACGTTTATATGCTGTGACTGTTTCAATCTTTGATCGTGACGAAGATGCTTCATGATGTTTTTAGCTCAGCAGCATGTCTGTCTGTTCGTACTCGAATTACACATAAACATGAACTGTCATCGTACCGTCAGACTCTTGCTTAATCCACCATCTTGTCCTGTTTGACATCATGTCAGCAGGGCAAACTTCCCGCATGTGTAAAGGAGGGATTCAGGACCGTGTAAGTAAAAGCCTGTGCTGAAGGTTTCTTCTCGTTTTGAAGGTGAGCAGGCTGATTCTTCATGTGGCGTTTTGCAGGACAGCCTCCTTATTGGAATACATTCCTTTCTGTCACTGTTTTACGTCGCTGCCTCACAGTTGACAAACCCAACTGTGATTGGCTCACAGAAATTAAAACCAAGCGCCTTTGCTCCCCTCAGTATGGAAACAGGTCTGACTATTAACCACATTCACATAACGTCCATTCCTCTCTGCCGTCCTGCAGGAAAATGTTGTCCATCTGTGTTAATGTTGAGCTTCTGACAAATAGTTAACATTTCACAGCTGTTCGGTTGTTCATAATGCACAGTGAATTTATGGAGGGACATTCAGCCATTATTTAAGGGAAAACATATCAGACAACCCTTTATGCTGCTGTCTGCATTCAACCACTTACAAGCTAATATTAGCATTAGCCAGGAAGTGGCAGAAAGTGCACCACAGACAAGGTGGAAATTCCTAATGTTGATGTAATGTTAGATCCCAAGTGGTGCAAAGCTGAACTTCGATTTAGTCTAAGGGCAGCGAAAAGGTTCTTACGCTGATTTATATGGTTGTCATTTGATTTCTAAGACAAACAAAAAAAAAACATATTTAGCAGTTCGATCTGTGCTGGGACACTGAGTGAGTAAAGGTAGCTGCAGGAAACTCTGTGTCGACTTAACGTGTCCTATGACGTTTTCGCACACACTCAGTTAATCAGTCAGTCAGTCCTCTTTGTGATCTGTAGCTCACAAAGAGGACTGACTTTCCTTTTCTTCCTGTGAAGTTCAGTCAAGATTTTTTACTGCAGGACTGAGAGATGCAGGATGACAGATTTTTTTTCAAACATACAACTGTTTCAGGGGCTTTAAAGTCCTGCAGCTTTTCAAAATATGATCAGAGTACATCAGAAGCTGCTGTTCTTGTTCAGTGTAAGACTCTGATCACAGCCGTCCTCCTCCTCCTCCTCCTCCTCCTGCGTGCGTCTGTGTTCATGGTTTCAGTTTGAGCCAGGGGTGGATGAGGGTGAGGATGCTGAGGATTGAGGAGGTGAGTCCGCAGAGCCCCACAAACCCGGATCCTGTGGTGTATATCCCGAGCCGGTCCAGAGGGATAAAGATGTCGCAGCTGTTCTTCAGGAGGTCCAGCAACAGCGGCGGGTTGCTGTACAGCACCGTCGCCAGCAGGTGGAGCTGTCTGCGGAGCCCTGCCAACATGACTGGCGGAGCGTTGAGGGCGACGGGTGAGGAGGAGGGCGAGGACAACTGGTCAGCGGAGGCGGAGCCAGGGTGAGGAGAGGGAGGGTGTTTGGATGCTCTGTGACGCTCCTCACAATCGATGAGGAGGCGGAGCTCGTACAGATCACGAGTCAGGTTCAGGATCAGAGCGAAGAGGTAATACCTGCACAGATCAAACAAGGGAAGCCAAGTATAAACACTTTTAGTAAAGACTTTTCAGATAACTAGAACAGTTTTTTTTAAATGGACACACTTTGAACCGTCAAGGATAAAAATGAAGCTATTATATTTTCAGAGCTTTTCAAGGTAACTGGTTATTTGCAGTGCAAAAGAATCCTCACCTGAAGGATCTCTCACTCCACTTCTTCATGTCCAGTTTGGAGATGATTCCCGTCTTCCCCGCCCACAGGACGTTATCACAGGCGAAGTACATGGCTCTGTTCAGGTGGCTGATGGTGAGGCAGAGTCTCAGCACGCTGTCGGAGAGGTGGATCGCCCTCTTGGCGGACTCCAGAGCCTCCACTGAGTTTCCCAGACGCAGCACTGCGGGACACAAACGCACGTCATCAGTAACAAGCCTGCCCGCTCTTGACGTTTAATCTTGGGATCTCAAACTCCACTCACACTTCCTGGTCAGGCTCATGTGCGCCTCCAGCTGACCGATGGTTTTACGAAGCTCAGCCGCCGCGCCTCCTTTCTGCAGAGTGTATCCCAGCAGAGTGCACGCATACTGAGCAGCCCTGTGAGAGCACAGCACACACACCATCAGAAGACTGACCAAGCAGAGGAGACATACTGGAAAATAACAAAACAAATCAGGGTTTAACTTGTCACCTTACTGCAGATCCATCGACATCTCTGCATATGGCGTGCCTTAAAATATTACAATTACCCCCTGAAGAGATGCCAAAAGCAATAGCTTATTTCAACTGATTCAGCACATGCTTGCAGCAGAGGATAAATAATCTGATGTTGTATTTATTGGAAACGCTTGCAGGAACTCAGGAATATAAAATGTTAACAACAGAGAGTAAGTCCACAACATCCAAACAAATGGAAAATACAAAAAAAGAAAAAGCAGATTATTTATTTAAAAAACATATAAGAAACCAAATTAATTTAAACCTTTTGTAGTGTGCTGTAATTATTTATTGGGATTATCTTTTAATTAAAAAAAAAAAAAAAAAAATACTACCAACAGTTTTCAGTTTACCTGTCAGGTAACAACAAACAGAACAAACAGAACACAGAGAGGAAAGTTATCGACTTCTTCTGTCAGGATAGCAGTGGTTAACTTCAACATTCACACTGCAGCTGTTGCATTAAACATGTCAGTGTTCATAAAGGTGTAAACATTACCTGATAACTCGCTCCTTGGCTTGACTTTGGGCGTTGAAGCGAACCCAGGAGTCCATACTGACTTCTTCTTCTTCTTCTTCTCGGCCTGTAGTTTTAAGTTAGCAGGTAGCTCCGTGTTACTATGGTGACGGTGATATCCAGTGATTTACAAACCAGCAGTTCGAGGAGTTTTAAAGACTAAAGGGAGATTAGAAATCTGTTTACAACATCGCTGTCCTCACATGCACCACTCTTCTTCTTCTTCTTCTTCGTCTTGCTTTTTCTTCTTCTTTGAGGTTTATTGGCGGTTGGCAAACAACGAATTTGTGCATTTCCGCCACCTACTGGTGTGGAGTGTCCAGACGAATATCTAATGTTTTCTACTTTTCTATACAAACAAATACAAAAAACTAGATAGATTATATCTTCATGATCAACTTAGTTTGTCTGAGGTACTAAAAGAAAACCCGATGGCCCTTTTAGCGACATTGTTCTTCTTCTTCTGCTTCATATATGGCAAAGATTCCGCCTTTGCCAAAATACTGTCTACCACCAACTGGTACGTTGTGTGTATTAGTACAAAACAAAAATCACACTAAGTAATTAACGATAATACAATAAACCACAGATAACAACCGTCTCTTTTTATGGAAATGCACTTCTAAAGTTTTTAAACATATTGGCGGACTGGAGCTTACGCAAATAAAGGAAACAAGCAAAATCTCTGAAATATACGGAGCCCCTGAAGTCCAGAAAAGGAAAACATATGTATATTTATGTTGTGTGCACAAGTTAATATCATATGCACAGAAAATAATAATCTTGTAATCAGAATAATTATTGTGTATTATACAATGCTTACACACACAAGTGTTATCTATGTACAAATATAACATGAAATATCAACAAATACAATTATGTATCTAATTATGATGTCATCTCACTTGCCAAAGTAAAACTACACGAACAGTTGGTATAAATATGAGTGTTATTGGTTTATTTCTTTTTTTTTTTTAATTGTACAGTCAGCATTACAAGAGGCAGCACATCTTTACAAAAAAATAACTACAAAATAAAAAGAACAATATTCTAACGTAGCAAATGAAAGTCTTTAGTACTTGATTCCAGTATAGCTGATGCGGCAGGAAAAGCTTTTCGAAGGTTTTTATGAATGAAATGATCGTGTTTGTGATCTTCTCTGTGAAAGTGAACAGAATGAACACTGAAAACAGACAATTATTTTATTTTATTTTTTTTAATATGTGATGATATGATTCTGCTTTATTCTGCTCTGGGAATAATTTCGACGTTCGACCCAAACTTTTTGTTTTACTCAAAGTTGTGCCTCTACCGCAGATTCGTTCTCTGTATTTATTAGAATACATCGAACATGACTGAATGAACTCCCAGTAAACGTTATTGTGAGAGTTTATTCATTGTTACCAAGGATGTAACAACGATAACCACAATGGCGGGGCTAAATAAAGGCCCTCAAATAATTTCTTTGGTGTTTAAAAATGAAAATCTGCACATTTAGTTCAGAGTTTTAGGTACAAACAGAACATAATCGAATTAAGTAGGACATTTTAAGAACCGTGCATCCATACATTTTATTTTATTCAGTCGTCCCCGCTGATTACGAGTAAAATGTGTTTTTTTTTTCAAGATCTCGACGTATTCGTCTCATTAAAGATAAATACGATAACGACAAAAATTCGATTTTAACGATGTGCAGATCTCGAGGAAACAACCAGAATTTCAATATAATGGGAAGATGGAGTCAAATAAAATGTCTGGATGTATGTAAGCTATGTTGATTTAAAAAAAAAAAAAGAAAAAAAAGAATTCATTTTAGGTATTTCTTTCGTCATTTTAGGGGATTTTTCAGATAAAAGTTAAGAGTTCAGATGAGTTCTAACTGCTCTGTCAGACTTCTTTTGGATCATTTTAATGTCATCACTTAATTCATGGGAACCACTGAGTGTGGACGACCTCCTTCACGTATTATCAAGTGTCTTTAACATTCACAGAACAAACATTGTTCTTCGTTTGGACCATGTGAAGACCTGACGCACGTCATGAAGCAGCAGCAGCAGCTCCGTCACTCGATGCGGACCCGTTTGTCCGTGTGCATTTATCCAACGCCAGCAGGTTTCAGTGATCAGTCGAAGTATTTCCATCTTTTTGTAGTGTGTTTATTACAAAGTGTTCTCATAGTGATACACAGACTACTTTATTCTCACTCTCAAAAGCACAGACGGGACAACCAGTCGAGTTAATAAACCGTAAATGTGTGGAAGCCAACCTCTGAGCAAAACTGGACCAAAAGAATATATGTATATCTTTATATTCTTTTAAAGGAAGAATGTGCGACTTTTTGATCCAGTAGATGTCGCCCTTGAGCACCAGCATGAAACCAAAACAAACTGCTGTTAGCCGACACCTCCTCCATACTGAAGCCTCCGCTCTCCTGCAGAGACACACCTCCAGCCCCCCTCCACTCACGTTCACAAGAAGGAGTTTAACGCAAGCGGTGGACTAAATTATCCTCATTTCGAGCTTCATTCACCTGTGGTCTGCATTGCTGTGTTAGCATGCTAATGTTAGCGCTCTTTAGTTAGCTCGTAGCTTCACATTGCATGTAAACTGACACAGAATGAGGGTGGTCTAAAAACTCTTACTAACATCCAAATAAGCAGTGAGTATGTTCTTCTTCTTCTCTCTAGTCCCGTCCATGTAAACACAGCTCTGACAACAACACAGCCAGCGGGACTCGAGCTTCTCACTCATTGTAGACAGTCATGACTCAGAGACACATTTACACAGGATAGACTTGATTTCTGCTGTCACACATTCTTCCTTTAAAGAATCAGCAGCTTCATCAAACACTGTGAACTCGTAGAATTAAAGCAGGGGTCTGATTAAAAAAATTAGGGTTCTGTATTAAACGAGTCTGCAGCTTCTTAATAACTTAAAGAAGGACGACGTCATGTCGGTCAAACAGCGAGCAACAAAAATAAATCTGTTAATACACTTTGAATTAATATCATTAATTATCATCTTTTTTTTTGCTGTTATTTGAGTTCGGCTCAACGTGACGGTCCAACATGGACGAGCGATTCTCTAACAGTCCAAAAATAACGAATGAGACTCTGAGTTTAAATAAAGACTTTCCCTTTGAATTAGTACCAAATAAACTCTGATTATTAGGAAACAAACGTGGACAGTTATGAAGAACCGTCAAAGATCAACATCTGGAGTCACAGGAGTGCCATAAAAAACGTGTAAAAGAATCGGAGAAGACACTTGGGAATATAATGATCAATTAAATATTAACATTTGAACGTCTTTGTGTTTATTTTGTATATTTATTTGGGGGATTTTTATACCTTTCATTTAAAGATAAGAGTGGATAGAGTCATATATCAGAGAGAGAGAGCGTTAGGGATTGACATGCGGGAAGGTAGCCTCAGGTTGGATTTGAACCCAGGCCGCCCGCTTGAAGGACTGTAGACTCTGTACATGGGGGCGCACACACTAACCACTATGCTACCAGAGCCCCAAAGCTTACAACACCTGGTTACCAGCCGCTCTCCCTTTCAAGTACTAACCAGGCCCGACCCGGCTCAGCTCCCGAGATCGGACAAGATCAAGCGTGTTTAGGGTAGCGTGGCCGTAAGCGTTTTTATTTATTTATGTACTTAGACTGTACACTGTCTACCTAGCGGTGCGTTCCATTTAATCTCGGAAGTCGGAAATTCCGAGTTGCCGGTCTGATACGTCGCCACCCTGAAGTCCGACTTGCAAATTCGAAACAACTTCAGTCGTCAGGTATTAGCTAACAAAACAAAGCTTCTCCTGGAGGCGTCCATGTTGCTTTTCCGACTGGAACGCGGTTAACTCGGGAGTGACGTCGCTCCGAGCCTCGAGATCCGAGGTTTGAGGTAAAATGGAACGCACCATAGGACCTCTCTTTTCGTTGCCGTGGTGATGAATCAGGTATCGATCCTTCATATATATGTACGTTTGATACTCTGGTGTTGTGACTACCATAGTTCAAACTTCTTTCAATTCAATTTCTGATCAAGCGTTGGAGCTGAAAATAAAACTGAAATGGACTCGTTCTTTAGACGGTTGATTGTTTTGTGTTTTTATATTTGAAGTGAAGCACAGACAGCGGCAGCAAACAGGAGCCGTCATGGAGGAGGTGTTAGTGACTGTAGAGGGGTCAGATGAAGATGATGATGAAGGTGATGCTTGTGATTGGAATGACGACCTCCCTGATTGCGGGCCGAGCAAACAGATAAATATGACATCTATTAGTGTCGTCCATGCGTAGATTAAAATAGTGCCAAGCGTACTCGTTCATATTTTACACTCACAAAGACTAAGGCAATAAATAATTCGACTCAGGTATAGTGAGTGCTTGTTAATAATTCTCTATGTCTCTAAACCACGACTGTGATCATCTTCAATGAGCTGCACGGATACCTGAGGGGAACACAGAAAACCATCGACAATCACGACATGAATCTTCAGGTGAACAAACACAAAGCGTGTCCGTCTGTCGCACGATCCAGTGTTGGTGCATCTACTGTTGACAACAAAAGGCACAAATATCACTAAAATGCATACGTGAATGATCTTTGTAAAAAGCAGCTGAGGACGCGTGTGGACTGACAGAGCCGCACCGTAACATCCCGACTCCAAACACAGACACCAGTTTGACCTTTGACCCTCGGCTGGATGTTGATGAAATACTCCCAGTGGAGCACAGGTCTGTTTGCTCTGCTTTTAGTAAGAGAATATTTTCTTTGTATTTCCACATTAATTCATTCTTTGATTTATCTTCATCTTTAGATGTTTAGAGTCTGACAGCAGAGAACGACCTTTTTGTTAACAAGGAAGATTTAAAAAAAACAAAAAAAACACAAACAGTTGATCCATCACATTTCAAAGACACGGGACTCCATTGATTAAAAACAGTAACTTCACCTCACAGAACACAGGAGTTACTCGTCTCCTGCTGCCTCCATTGTTCACTGCTGTAATGTGACTTGTGACAATAAAGTAGTAAATCCGTTTTAGTGGTAGAAAAGCAACTCCCATATTCCATCCATCCGTCCATTATCTATACCGCTTTTCCCGTTCAGGGTCACGGGGGGCTTGAGCTGACTCCAGCTGTAATTGGGCAGGAGGCGGGGTTACACCCTGAACTGATGGCCTGTCAATCACAGGGCTGACATACCATATATGGTGCATTCATGTGGCGTTGGACACATCGAAAAAAAGAGTTTCTGCATTGTAAAATGCACATGAACGCCTGCTCAAGTCGGAGCAACAAATCGGAAACTCGGAAAAAAAATAGGTAAAGGTATTTTTGCTGAAATATAACTTGTAACAGTCTTCTTCATAGCATCAACGCTTTTTGTTGCTTACAACATTCCGACTTTGCCGAATTGAAGTCACAAGAGCAAACTGAAGTCAGAAATAATTTCCTTGTTAATTGTTTAGCACCAATACACCAAGTCAAATTCCTTGTATGTGTAAATGTACTTGGCAATAAACCCCGATTCTGATTCTGATTCTAAGAAGAACGACTTCCCAACTCGGAAACTTGGACCATCAGAGGAGCACATGAATGCAGCAAAAGCGAGACAACCAGACACACTCACATTCACACCTACGGGCAAGTTAGAGTCAGCAGTTAACCTAACGAGCATGGCTTAGGACTGTGGGAGGAAGCTGGAGTACCCGGAGAGAACCCACACATGCACGGGGAGAACATATTCTGAAAGGTAGCATTATTGTTTTTATCAATGGAGTCTGGCATGATATATCAGCTGGGCCTGGTTTTAAAAAAATTTAATTAAATTTAAAAATCCTTTAATCCTGAAACAAAAAGGTCAGTCTCTTTTCTGTAATGTTGTCAGATACTGAGAATAACAATCTGAGTCCGTCAGGGACACAAACAAGAACTGTTAGAGGATGCACTTTGATCCTTCAGGATTATGTTGCAGCAGCTACAGCCTGATTCACTTCTGCAGGCTGAAGAACACTACGGCAGAGATTCATAAAAGGTTTGTACCTTTTTGTAATGTACATCTTAAATAAAAGAATCAGGTTTAAAAATGTGATAATTGATGTGATAATGATATCAGGGCGCCAAACTAATAAGAAGCTGAACATAATGAAGTGTTGGAGTCAGGATACTATCAGAGGGCGTTCATGTTCAGATCCTCACACATCGACCTGTCAGTGATGATGTATGTGTGCGCTTTCAGGCGGTAAAAACTGAACTGTGACTTTGCACTGTAGTTATGAGGTATTCTGGTTTTGGTGATTCACACCAACCGTTTGGTTACACACAGGGTAGCACTGCTTCATCACAGAGAACAACAACACCACTTTAAAGCTAAATGTTTGTTTTTTGTTTGGCTTTTTGGTCTTTTTGGTACAAAAATAATATCGCTTGAGCTAAGCGTAATAGGAGGGCTAACCAGCTATCGAAGCTAACAGTTAGAGCAATAACAGTGAAGAGCACAGTACGAGCACAGAGATGACGTTACACTGGTTTCCATAATAATCCAAACTTCTACATCAGTTCTGCTGCTGATAAGGAGAGTTACTGACAGCATGATTCAGAGGTAAGCAGTTATCTGTCTGGAGTGTTTTAATCGTGCATGATTTCTTTTTTTCTTTTTTTTACATGTGTGTGTGTTTTTCATGAGTGAATGTGCAGAGCGATTAGAGGGGAATCCAGATTGCATACAGAGGAACTGGATTTCTGAAACACATCCCTGGATTTCTACAGTGCATACAAACGTCTTTCGATTGGTCAGAACTCAAACTCCAAAGTTTAACCTTCAGGGACGTGACTCCCTTCTGTTTGAGTTTGGATTGTAAAGCGAAAGAAAATGTCCCAAAGACATCAGCACTCTTATGTCTGCGCGTCTGCAGACGTTTTGGTTACAGTGTGTGTGTGTGCATGTGTGTGCATTGATTGTTACGAGCAGGATCTCGGTGTGTTTTTGATTGATTTTTCTTTGTTTGTTTTTTTTTTTTCATTCTATTTGGCCTGAAGCTAAAATGTGTGTCTGTGTGCACATTCAGAGGATCCAGATCGGGGGTTCTGAACGTGATCTTGGTCCTCAATTAGCAGGCCCCGGGTCGGCTAAAGGCATCGTGTGCAGCACCTCATCCAGAAGCTGCAGAGCGCGGTGCAGGTGGACCTCCACCCAGCAGGGGGTGTGTTTGATGCTCTGCCGGGGGTAGTCAGGTCCCCAGCCCTTCACAAAGCTGAGCCGCAGGATGCAGAGCCGCCGCAGGTCGTCCACGCCGATCCCCGCTGCTGCAGACAGACCTGACGGAACGCGAGAGAGCCAGAATGATAGTAGGATTTATATTTTCCTTAAGAGTGTACAATCTTAATCTCTACGATACAGTATGATGCTCAATTTCTAAATTATGGTCCAATTTAGAGTCAACTAGTCGATACATCAGGGGAGGATTTAGGGCGTGGTTAATCTATTTTTACGGGTTCTTGCATTAGAGACTAGTAAGACTAGATTTGGGGATTGGAAGTGTTCTGATTTTTTGTCTGCAGTGCAAGTATTAAAGTTCACAACCCTCTGTCGGCTTTGGTTATAAACACGGAAAACTAAAGCGACAGAATGAAACGCGCCGTTGTGCCATAACACAACCCATCAGCAGTAAGGATGTAACGATTCACTCAACTCACGATACGATCCCCTCACGATTTATTTCACAAAATGAGACTGCAGACAAATGAAAAAGATTCCTTTAGGGGCTGCAACCCCGCTTGTCAGTGTGTGTGTGTCTAACAACAGTCGGAGTCATGCACAGGAAACATTACACTCTGCTTTGAACCTTCCTCTGTATTCACCCGTACATGTTTTAATCTTTGACATAAGAACAAAATGTGAAAGGCACTTACTGACTGCAGGAGCGATGCCTCCGACGCTGCCTGGACCGGGGATGTTTCCTGCTACAGCGGCCGCCTGAGCAGCTGCTGCAGCCTGAGCGGTCGCCGCCTGCTGCTGCATCTGTCTGTGACACTGTCGCAGGTCGAACACCTGACAGACACACACACAGCAATCGCTTTATTCAACAGCTGCATGCTAACAGCTGGACAGAAGGGTCACATTGAGGGCTACCTCTGTGCAGCTGAGCATCACTCATTCAGTGTGACTTGTTAGGTTTGGACGGTGTCCTCACATAAACACAGCGGTTACAGAGAATACAAACAGATCGTCAGTGATTTAGGATCTGGATTCAGACCTTGATGTATGCGCCGGGGTAGATCTTGTGAACAGCGTCACCTGGCGCTCGGCCCGCCTCCCTGTCGAGGTAGTAACTCTGAACAAACACGGCGTGGTCGCTCATACAACGCATCCACACGTCGCCCTCACCGCGACACTCCAGCTGCACGCCTTTACCGATGTGCAACCTGTAACACAACAGAAGAAGCATCAGGAACAGATTTCCGGTTCCTCAAAACGACCAAAAACAAGAGCGTACGTCAGCTGCGTGAATGAATAAATGAATGAGTTGTTGGAGGGGTCTTTTCCTCACACACCTGGCTCTCTCGCTGGCGTCAGTGCGGTGGACGTTGCTCAGCTGGCCGAGGCAGAAGCGGTCGCCTCCTGACGGGTCGACGTACCCGTCCACAGTCACCACGGGACAGCTGGAGGGAACCTTAAACATCTCGCCAACCTGAACGTCCATCTCGAAGTACGAGATGGAGCACCAGAACTCTGGACCTGCAGAGAAGACACCACAAACTGTGTGAGCGGCTGACGGCTAAATAAAAACTCGGATTTACTGCAGACCAAAGCTTGTTTACAGGTTTTGTGTCAGTAGTAACACAGTCTTTACCGAGGCGAGATGGGATCAGCAGAGCAGTGCTATGTGTGTGTATGTGTGTGTGTGTTCACGTCTGACTGTGTGTGTGTGTGTGTGTGTGTGTGTGTGTGTGTGTGTGTGTGTGTGTGTGTGTGTGTGTGTGTGTGTGTGTGTGTGTGTGTGTGTGTGTGTGTAGATCCAGCTGTTTCTCTACAAGGTGGGCTTTTTTCAATGCCGTAATGCAATGTGAAGTCACAGACTGGGACACTGATGTTACACCCGTTGCAGGATCAATATGAATGTACAATCCCTCTCTGAAAATCCAGGTTAAATTTCACTCAAATGACAAAAAAAAAAAAAAAAAAAACATTTTAAATCCGTTCCTAGAAGCACATGAGTCATAAACTCGAAAATTCTTACAGCAATGGTGAGCAACAGGTCGATTTAAGACATATAGTCAACCCTGTGTTGGTTGCGATGGCAACTAAAGGCCTTCGGGTAGGTAATGTAACTTATCAGTAGGATATAGGGGTGTCTTCACTGAGCACTTATCCTTTCATCAGGGTACAAGTGACTCCAAACAGTGAATTGAACATGCAGAGTTCAGGTAAGATCAGGTGTGACAGTGTAGTCGTGTGTTACCTGGATGATTGGACACAGAAGGAGGGAAGGAGGTGGAGCTGTGATGCTGAGACCCTGAAAGAGGAAGTGTGAGAGGATTATTTTAAAATGACTTCAGAAGAGAGTTTGTGGTTTTTGGGTTTCCCTCGATGACGCTCTTCTAATTTGATCATGTTGACACTCTGACGTCGTAAATTCATCTGAATTATTTCATTCCAACCACAGGACTGCAACAAATATTTCTTACAGTGGTGGTTTTGGTGATGGAGGGGCGGCTGTTGGTGAGCTCGTCCGTTCTGCTGGGGTCCTATGGGAGTGTAGGAGGCTGTGCTGCTGCCTGTCCACACTGCTGGAGAAACAGAGGATTCAGTTATATTCTATCTAATAAATGATAATGTGTGTATAATCACTCAGTGTCTGCATGGACTCACTGTGGAAGGCCGCCTGGCTCTGAGAGTGCTTATTGCTGCTGTACCCGTTCTGCCCGTGGGGGTGAGGAGGAGGGTGGGGGGGTTGTTGTTGGTGGGGGGCTGCGACTGTTGCTGTGCAGCCTGCTGGTGAGGGGATGGCTGGGTCGGGGTCGGAGATCGAGGTGTCGGGGTCATGACTTGAGCCTGTGGAGACGCAGTTTGGAGGCGGCCATCACTGTGACCCCCCTGGAGAGGCATCATGGGTCCAGAGCCTGACACCGAGGGAAGGGGTGGGGAATGGGGGGGTCACAGGGGCACATCAGTTTAGGCTTGAACTTCCTGACTTTTGTCTGATGAAGTAAAATTCAAAGATATCGCAGCACTGACCTTTGGGTGAGACAGGCAGGTTGGTGTATCTGCTGATGGGCGGGGGTCCGTGGGGCTCAGAGGGCAGCTGTGGCGGGGGCAGGGGCTGGCCGTAGTGGTCCTGGGGGGGCAACTTCATGGCGGCTTGGTGCTCTGACAGAGGCATGCCGGGCGGGAGGTCCATCTGTATACAGTCATGGATGTACTCCTCTTTGATGAGCCCGACTGGAGCTGCTGAAGGAGGAGGAGGAGGAGTTACGTTCACACACTCAGCTCCCTCTAAGAGTTTTGTATCTTATTGTTTATAGCGGTATTTGACTTGTGCAGCTTTCTTGACAGCGATTACAGGAACCAGGGCATGCAGTGGTACCTTATCCTTTAAACGACGGAGCGCTGCTGAAGAGGAGAACTCACCTGTGTTCTGAAGGCTGAGACCGACTGTCAGAGGAGACACAAAGAGCACAAAATGAAAAGTCGCTCAGCGAATGAAGCGTCAGTAACGATACTGATCGGGATGATCGGGACGTACCGATGCCTGGTGACACCACCCTCTCATAGTGGTAGGGGTTCACACACACGTTGTCGTACTTCAGGTCGAAGGCGTACTGGCAGAACTTCACGTGCTTGAGTTCATTTTTGTGGAGGTCGGGCCACCGCCACAGACGTGCGTAAATCACGTGAGGGAAGCCTTTCCTGCCCGCCACCTGAGGGGAGAGAGAACAACATCAGAACAAGTCGTTCTTCAGCACAATAACTGACAGCTCCCGATAACAAGAGCTTCTGTGAGACATATTTTTCATTACAAAAATACTTTTTAATTAACACATTCAAAAGTCATACAGTTATATTTGCACTAAATCTGTGCATCAATGTATCCCAACACATTTTAGTTTTCTTGGGTTAGATGAATTTCTGCATCCCGTCAAGCTGCTAAACATGAGACAACGATGACACGATAACGATACAGCCTAACGTTACATCTCAATCTGAAGAATATCTGCAGGGATGTTCACTCTGCGACCCGCTCGCTCTCTCTTTGTCTTTCAGTTTCCCCTCGCAAACATTATGACATCTAGTAGAGGTGGGGTAAAACATCGATACAGTATAGTATCGAGATATTTTGTGTGGCGATATTATCTCGTCTCATGGCAGCCAAGTATCGATATTTTTAATATGATATTTTAGATATGCCTTTTTAAATTTTGCTATAAAGTTGTATTGTTAAAAATTCATGTTCAAGTTCAGTTTGACAGAAATACAAATAAAAAGATGTGAAGAAGTGAGATGAACAGACTGAGGATGTTTTCTTATTTGACAAAACGGTTCTTGATTTAGTTTAGTGTAGTGGACATAATATGCAGTTCAAAAAGTTAAATCGCAATATATTGTTTTGCAAATCGCAGTATTTTGCAAAATTGTTGCAATAGAATCGCATCGTGTCGATAATATGGTATTGTGGGGACTCTGGTGATTCCCACCCCTAACATCTAGAGCTTTTGTGTTGAAGGTGGACAAACTGAAGTGTGGTGCTTTGTATTGAGGAGCAGCACAACACTCAAAGGATCGTCAATAACCAGCTCACGGTGGCAGAAAAAAAAGTTTTCTCGGGTGTTGTCGACACAAGTCAAAGGTCATTTCAGTCATGGATGTTGATATTATTAATGCATCGTTATCTCCACTTTGTACAACAAGTGGACAAGCTGCACTGAGTGAGAAAAGCGAGTGTCAGTGCCGTGTAGAGCCCCCTCCTTCCTCATTCCTCGTCTCTCTATGCAAGCGACAGAGAGGAAGATAGAAACGGGGCGTCGGGGGAAAAACGGTGCCGCTGTCTCTTCAGTCGATTTGATGTTCTAGTAATTAAAGTTGCTGCTATACTATCCATCCACAGAGCGCTTTGTTGGATTCTGTGTCACACTGCACCACTCACGGGCAGTTAGGACACTCCAATTGGAAACAATATAATCAGGCTGATTTTGTCGCTGACGCTCGCGTCGCGTGCTGTTAAGACAGGCTGTTAGCCTGAGCAGTCATTTCAAACATTACCAATATGAGATAACTGGCTAGTTCTGTAAAGCCGTACCCCCGTGCCTCGGCGGCCATGTTGCCGTGACGTTTAAGTCAAATCTGAAAAAACTGTTTACATCTTAAAGCTGAAGGATAAAGTAGACTTAGAAGACTTTGTTGACTGATGAAGGTAAAATGACCTGCAGGCGTCCGTCCAGCGTCCTCTGAATCGTCACACACTTGCTCGGGTGGACGCCGTTGGTGGTGATGGCGGTGATGAGCGAGTCCAGCTCGTCCTTTTTCTCCTTCAGCTTCTTCACCAGGCTCTCGATCGCCCGCTTGGCGAAGCCCTCGTTCTCCCCGCCCTGCCGGTGACACATGAGGCTGTGGACGATGCTGAGGCAGGCGTCGTTGCTGCTGGGAGGATTCACCGACATGATGCTGCAGACACCAGAGAGAGGACCGTTAGGAAACACATGTAAACTAGTAAATACCTGACAGGGTGTGGATTTCACATCTGACCCCCAATGTCCACATAGTCCATGCTCGCCACGTTCTGTCAGTGCCACGGTTTGGCTCCTTCAGACAGCGCGCCCTGCCCTACTTTCTGGAACGTGAGCGCAACCATGAGCAACCTGTACACACTTCACAGGAGAACTACAACATGTTGCTCTGTCTTTCTGAGGATGATTTGTTGGTCATTCGGTGCCGCGTTTGACGTAATGTTGATACAGTGTTGAAAAATAGGATCGTGAGTACGTATATTGTGTTTTATTTTGAAATTTACCTGACGTGTGTTTCGTTTTCTGACTTCCTGTCCGAGTTGTCATATTCTGTCCCGCTTGACGCGTACCTGCAGCGTAGTCTATAAAAAATAGATCCGCAGCGTATTTAAAACGGAGCAGAGCGTAGTGGCGCTGCTGGCACGCTCCAGAGACGGGGCGCAGCGTTTGCTGTTGAAACGCAATCAGTGACTGGAGTGGCAGCGAACGGCGGCATGGTGCCTGGCGCTGACGGACCGCAGTGTGCATGGAGCATGTGGAAATTGCGGGTGACAGATATTTCCTTTTTTTTTAAGGTTTATTTTTGTGCTTTTTTAGAAATGTACACTGATAGAGTCAGAAATCAGGGCGAGAGAGAAAGAGGGTAATGACATGCAGGAAAAGATTAGAACACAGGCTGCTGGCTTGGAGGACTACAACTTCCATGCATGTGGTGCACGCATTAACCACAAGGCTACCGGCGCCCCTCAAACCCTGTTGGCTATTAAAAATATTATTAGGATCTGAGAAATGGAAGTACGATGGATGACAAGAGCAGAGGGGCTAGAGTGGCTCGAAACGTTTCTTTCAAAATGCTGCAAACATTTCCATCAGAAAAGATTCCACAGAATAAAGCTGCTGCAGAACGCTGGAACAGCACAGGAAAACAAACTGTGTAAAATATGTGATGCAGGTTTATTTTTATTTATTATTATCCAGAAACCAGACCAGCCAATCAGATGTTAGATCATCTCACTCGAGACACAATTCAAATCCAAAGTGCAGTTTGATTTTTTTTACGCTGAAACATCACAGGAAAAACAAACTGTGTAAAACATGTGATGCAGGTTCATTTTGATTATTGTCGAAACCTCTTCTCTTGTCAATTATATTTGCACAATGTTTGCTCCTCCTCTCAAAACTAAGAGTTACAAACTGTGTGTCTTAAATAAATCGAGCAGACATCATCATTTTCTGTTAGCATCAAAGCCCCGAGGAGAGAGAGAAACACTCTCACAAATAACACACAAACTACACCTTAAGATCTGTAGGATCAACATCACCTGTGTGTTTAGGACAATTTGCATCATATCTGCATTAAAGAACATGTCATAAAGCCTTTAAAAATGCAGCCAAGAATAACTCTGATTTATTCCATGTGGAGGTTCCTGCCACGCTGACCTTTCAACAAGGAAGCCAGTTTTCATAAGACAACAAAGCAGCACAGCGAGATTCAAACAACAGACCAACCTTGAGATTCTGCCTTTGTTCAGTGAACTGGATGTTAAACGGGCTTATCATGGATAATATAATATAATAGATCTATAAATGACATTATACATCATACAGGGTATTTCATCTGTGCTGCAGCTAAATAACCAGACGGCAGTTTAGACTGGACAGCAGCCTCATGGCTCATCTTATCCAGAAACCAGACCAGCCAATCAGATGTTAGATCATCTCACTCGAGACACAATTCAAATCCAAAGTGCAGATTTGATTTCATGCTTGCCAGATTGGAAATGAAAACATGTAAGTTCTAACCTCGCTCCATTTTTCAAAAGCATCTCCAATATTGATCCTAGTTTGAGCACGTTTCTGCTCGTGGAGCTTATTAGAAACATGCAGAGGCTTTTTAGGTCGGGTACAATCACTTCTATCTGAACCACTTCTCTTGCCCTCTTCCATCGCTGCAACACCTGTTGACCTGATAACTGCTCTCATATCTGGCAAACGAGGGGCGTCCAAAACAGCCATGTGGGGGGGGCCTTTAAACCGCCTACCTTCTCTGGTTCAAACAAATCCAGAGCATTCAGGAGCAGAATCTAAAGTTAGAAGGAGGACATACTGGCTGCTGCATTGTTGTCAGAGAAGCCAGCACTTCAACAGAGCATGTTTCTTTAATGTCTGATCAGATAGTAAGATCACTTTATCATTTCACTTTCTACACATCTTACTGATTGGTCGAAGTTGTTCTAATTCCTCTGAGAATCATAAACCCTTTTCACACATACAGAAATCTCCTGAAAAACTCTGGAGATTTGGTTACCTGGAGGGACTTTCGGCTATGTGTGAACGCAAACACCCGCGTTTTTCGCTCTGTCTTTACCCGGAGTTTCTCCTGCCAGACTCTGAGTATTTTTTCCGCAGAAAGTCCGAGTGAGCTGATGTCTGAACGCGGCAGCATATACTCCGGAGATTTCAACTCGAGCCAATAGGCCCCCCTCCCCCTCCCCCTCTGACAGGGATAGTCCCCCGCCGTGAGGAGCATATGTGAACGGCTAGGTCGGGAGAATCTCCTGTAAATATCTAGATATTATCCGGAGTGCATATGTGAAAACGGCTATAGTCACATAAAGAGGAGTAAACACACTCTGTATTTCTCTCATTTAATATGTTTGCTTTGTGTGTATTACCTGGTGTTAAGTTGGTCAGCCAATGAGTGACCAGAAAGTTCACCGGCATCATGATGGCCCAGCTCTGAATCCGTCCCTGTAAGAGCGGGGAGACCGGGGATTAGTGGATACCAACATATTGGGCAAATCCGACAAATGTTAGACATTACGGGAGGTGAGAACAAACTTGACATTTCTTAATTAAGTCAAATCAAAGCAGCTGACTTGGTGATTTTCTACGTTAAACATCTAAAGCGGCGGTGCATGTGCTGAGTAACGGTTCATGTCGTTAGAGATTTCTCTGACTTACAGGCGTCTTAAAAATTAAGCATCATTTCAAAATATTTTTCGGTAACTGTAGCCTCTGTGGCTCCCTGGGTCACACTAAAGTCCTTTTCACACGTGCACAAAGATCCTAAAAGTTTTCCAAAATCTTCGGCGTGAGTTGAATTTTTCACCTCAACTTTACCAGGAACTTTTTTCTGCTAGCCCTCCTTTGTAAAATGACAGCACGATGTCGGGGCTGAGCCGACGTGTGAATGAACGACCAGCGCACAATGCAGGTCGTGAAACCGCTTCATTTTGTTTTCTGCTCACCGGCGTTGTTCTCCTCCCCTCTGTGGTTTGAACTGTGAAAACCTCCAACTACACATAACTTTGTCACAAAGGCAAAAATACTGTCATTAAAGTGTCAGACTCTGTGTCTCCTCTGCCATCTTGGGTGTGTTTGTTTACGTCATGGTTTGTGTCCTGGCTGAGAGGCGGGGGCGGGCTGTCTGAAGTCTTCTCGAAATCTTCAGGAGTTCTCTAGAAATCTTCAGGAGTTCTCTAGAAATCTTCAGGAGTGTGTGTATTTAAACCGCTTTAGGCCCCGTGTCCACCAGCGTCTTTTTTCAATTGTTTTCAACGAGGAGAGAGCGTTGTCAACAGACTGTTGTCGCCGAGACAGGACGGACATGCAGCGCTTTCTTCTCGCTTCATGCGAGTGCTGGGTTAGGGGGCTTTACTTTGCTCAGTCAATACGAAAAGCAGCACCGCAGAACGGCCATTATGGCGATCTTTGCAGATTCATCGGGGCCCCTTCACTGTCTTCTAAGAAAAGTCCAAAACACGACACGTGCATGAAAGATTCTCCACACACCGGGAACGACGATAGATCAAAACAAGAAAATAAGACACTCTAGAAAAAGAGGAGAAAGACATCAAACCCCTCAGAGTTTCTAAAGGTGGAGCTGATTCGAACACTTTTATAAACCGTCTGTTTGGAGGTTTCATTTTAAAACTAAACACACATAAACACGGAAAGCTCTGATTTGTCGTTTGACTTACGAGCCTGATCGATGTCAGATTAATGAAACAAATCGAGAACCAGTTTAAGAGGGTGGACAATTCAGGCATTACTTTTAGAGTGGCTTATATAACAACGTTATTAACCAATATATTTATTCTTTGAGGAGTCTGCATGGATATGAAAATGCAAGGGAACTTACAGTGCTGTTTAATCACACTAACTTCATTGGGGGGGCGGGTGGGTTGAGACAGACGGACCGACATCTCTCTGATGATTGTGATGACTTTAGCGGGGGCGAGTGCTTCTCAAAAGAACGGGGGAAAGCGGGTAACCACTTGGTGGTCAAGCTTTCTTTTATCTGAATCAACTTTGGAATAAAGTAGCCGGCGTTTATTTAGAGACTGGTTGGATGTTTGGCCGACCACCGACGCTTGTGGAGGGTCACAAAGTCACATTTAACATAATGGCCGATACTGATGTTTAACCGATTGTATTTGCAGAGTACTTTTTACATAAATGCATCTGTAAAACTACACATTTAAACATTATGCTTATTGTTTTCAGTAGCCTATGTATGTTTGTTAGTTGTGCCAAATCAATTTAATGATGGCATCTAGTACACATAAGTACAGATTCAGAGAAGAGGTTTAAATTGGGTCGATGAAGTCACCTGTTGGATAAACTCGGACTTGTTTTCATGTCGGCATTGTGGGAGTCCTACACAAAAAGAAGTCCTGAAACAAACGTCGGTATGGGAATCGGCTAAATTATTATTTCCAACATCGGTATCGGCATCAGCCCTGATTTTCCCAAATCAGTGCATCGCTAATGAATATTTTAAAAACTACCTTTTTAACCACAAATATCGCACAGTGAGATTTTTTATTTTTTTTGCTACGCTAAAGCACACGGCAAATTTCCTGTAGCAATGGTATTATTTCTTAAAGTACAATAACTAATACATTACGTACTGCACTCCAACATGGACTGACCCCACCTCCCCCAACTCCATCACACACACACACACACACACACACAAGTGCATCATCCCTCCTCTTCTACTCCTCCTTTACTTCTTCTTGTGCAAAACCAAAATCAATTGTGCAACACATTCCTTAGCAATATAATTTCCTAATGTGCAATATGTACAATAAATATTTCCTACCTGTCCTGTACCTTCTCTACCTGTGCAATATATACTTTTCTGCATGTGCAATATAGAAATATATACGTTTTTTTTTTTTACTTGTGGCAAGTTACTTTTCTTACTGTGTAATATACATTATTGAGAGCAAGTTGTTGTATTTTTTTTTGCAGCTGGACGCATCTGTGTTTATGCACTTTCTAATTTCGTTATACAATCTTATAATGCCAATGATAGTTTTCTATTCTACTCTATTCTATTCTAACAAGCTGCCTTTAATCTGACAGTCACAGGTAACTGTTGCTGCATACATCCAATCAAAACCCCCCCACACACACACCCCACCTTCATATGTCCCTGTCTAAACATACTGTTCATCATCATTATCCTCATCATACCTTCAGGCTCCTGGTGTCTACAACCACATAATACACACCCTCAGGGCAGCGCTTCCTCACAATTTAAACTTCAGTCAGAGTGATTTCTCAGGTATAAAATGAGAGCTGAATGCTGCTGTTACCTTAAACAACCCATACGTTCACTTCGCTGACATCACGGTATGGGTTAACATGCGTCACCGAGTCTGCTGTCTCAACGTGTTCAAGGACCACCTCATAAAATACAACATCAAATTGTTTTTTAAACGAAAATGTATAAGACTACTTCAAGTGTTACACGTCTAAATGAAGCAGGAAGCTAAAAAAAGGGGGGTGTTAAAACAGACACAGGGTGGATTCTGGGGGTAAATCCAGAAGACAGCAGTGTGTTTTATGTGGTTTCATGTGTGTTTCCTCGTGTTTTTCCTCGTTATTTAGTCTGCCTGTAGAGCTGGAAGAGATAAACAGTTCGTACTTACACATCAGCCGGAGAGGAGAGGGGGAACTTGCGCTGAAAGATCGTCTCAAGTGTTGCAGACAGATCCGTAACGTTGTGTGCTCAAAAGACAGGAGCTCGTTTTTACGTTTTTTTTAACCAAGACCTGAATTCACCGCAGATGCTAACGTTAGCTGTGAACGTCTCCGATGCAGCACGCTAACGTTCACGTAGCTTGATGTTTTCTCTGTGTTGTGTTGTTTTGGTTTTTTTTTGTTTTTTTTTTTAACGTTTTATCAGCCTCACTGTCTCCTCGTGCATCCTGTCCGTTCGTTCTCGCGCGCACGCCACAATAACAATAGAGGGGGAGACGTCGTGCGCGTTGGTGTCTCGCCAGGCTGCAGCCAATGAGAGGCGGGGTCTCACAGTGTCTACCGACGCTCAGCCAATAAGAGGGCGGTTCTCACAGCAGGGCCGCTAGCCAGGGTCTGTCTGGTTCGTCTTGATTGACAGGTTCGCGAGACTGTTTTTTTAAGGTGGCGCCGCTGAGATTAGCGCGCCCCCCCCTCTCTCTCTCCAACACACACACACACACACACACACACACACACACACACACACACACACACACGAACTGTTATTTGAGCAACACTCGACTCTTGTAACATATCTAACTCCGTGTTTCTTTCTCTCGAACCTTTCTTAGTTGTAAATCCTCTTTATAGTGAAATAAAACGAGTTAAAATTAAATTATTTTAATTGTAAAAGTAGAAAAAAAAACACATTTTAGATCTTGTAATCAAAACTAGCCTATGTGTGATGACAATCAAATTTACAAAAGAAACTTCACATTTATTTCAAAGCATCTGAAAATACCTGAAACTGTTCCTTTGTTAATTAAATCATGCAGGGTGGTAATATTGGGACTGACACATGATTATAATAAAATATATGCTTGTGGTCTTCTGAGGACAGCTATTCATGATTTTGTTTTGCCCCTTTCTGTGGAAGATTTGATTACAGGGCCACATGTGAAATATTTCTTTAAATTAAGAGTTTAAAAGATTAGCCAAACGTTTAATCCAATTTTAATTTTGTGTACTTGATGCTTTTGCAAAATTGTTTCTGAAACTCTCAGAGCATTACGCCTTTGTATTTAACTGAATGCAATAAGTCATGTTGTTTTTTACTATCACTTAAGGAGTGTTAAAAAAAACCCTGTGCATCATGTCTCCAGTTGTTGTTTTTTGGTGTTCTCATGCAGGACAGTGGTCAGAGTATATCAGTCTATGGGTTTACTTTTTACCGCAGGAGGGAGAAATGGTTTTGGAGCTCATATGAGCAAGGGTTCTGAATATTCTTCTGTGAACAGTAAACATGCCATACAGCTCATTTCCAAAAACTGACAAAACTTTGCAGAGAATGTATCCCTCGCAACTTTTAAAAAAAATGAGAGAACTCGTTTTTTTTCTTCAATAAGACCCCAAATAAACGTACACTTCCAGATCAATCGGGAAATGCACGAGTTATGCCTCAGCTTTATCGTTCGGCTACAGGTTTTGTCTTTCTTTTTATCTGCATGGCGACTAATAAATGACTTAAGATGAAAATTATCGCACAGGACACAGAACACACAACACCTGAAGTTAACATTTAATTTTTAATTTAACTTTTATCACAAGCAATGGATATCATACAAAAAAAACAACCCGAAACCACTCTCACAAGTGCAGGAGACATAATCTATCCGGTCTAGGTTCTCAGACTGGATTTAAAAAAAAAAATGTGAGTCTTGCATACCAGAATTTAGAATGTAGATATTTTTACAGTCAAAATAAAACCTGTTGTGATACCACAGCAAAATAACTATAGAAGCCCTGCGCACTAAATGTCTATTTTTGTTTTGAATGGCCTTAATTAAAGAGTGTGCAGTGTCAGTGGCAGCATGTTTTGCTCCCTGCTGCTTTTGGCTAAAAATAGGACAGAAGAGCCGAAGGTTTTTATAAAGTCTGGATATTTTTGGATACTTTCAAATCATTACAATAATGGAGATTGTATCCTTTTACATTGAAAGAACAACATTTTATTTGACAGCCTTTATGTGAATCACTAGTGGAACTAAATGAATTATCAATGCTGCATCCAGCGATGACACTGGTGTTAAAGGTTTGAATCTCATTTACACAAAAACATCTTTTAGTTGGTTCAGCCGTTATAGAAATGTAAACAACAGTGGAAACAAAACACCAACACCAGTACAAGTGCAGCAAACCCCAAAGAGTATGTTAACCATGGTAAATTAAACCATCACCTCCCAGTGCTCTCATTGATGTTTGTCCATCTTCATTTTCCTTTCAGTGTGCTAATGATGCTGTGTTTGCTTGTTGTTGTCTTGGACGGTGAAAGACGGTAAAGCAGATTAGAAAAATCTGCAGGTTTGTGTTTATCTCGAAGCCGATGCTAAGTGACGGAGAGAAACGGCCTCTTTAACGTTCACCTCATAAAGAAATATCAAGATCACATTTGTAAACGAGCATTTCAAAAAGAAAGGGACCGATTAGAGTCGAGGAACAAGGATCAATTATTATGCTCGATGTGATTACTCATACTGAGTGTTGCCATCGATCCTGCAAACTGAGGGATGTTATTCACATTTTACGCATGGTTAGAATTATTGATCTTTTCCCTGGAAGCCGTGTATTTGAATTGTTCTAATAAATACATACAATAAATGTCCCATGTCAAATTATTCCACACGATTAGACATTAAACGAAGTGCAGCAGCATGGTGCTAAGCAGCTGACAGCCTGGATTATTATTTTGACAAAGCAGTGCAGGATGTCATCAGACAGACAGCTAACTAAATGTCAGAGGAAGACTCCTCCTCCTCCTCCTCGTGTTTCAGTTTCCTGTATTGATGATTGCGTGCTGGTCAGGACAGTTCACAGAATCTGCTGCATGGATCGGGAGGAGGAGGAGGAAGAAGAGGAGGAGGAGGATCAGGGTTTACTGGGGGAGCGGGAGGTGAACACTCCTGACGCCTCCAGCATGGTCTTCCTGCGTGCCGTCTCCTTTGCCACGTTGTGGTTGAGTCGCCTTAGACGTTCCTGGAGACACAATATTTAGATTATGTTCAACTTGACGAGCAGGTTATTTGTAGCAATAACACTAGCAGTCCAAGCAGTATAGTGATGAGGTGTGGCTTTAGGCTTTAGGTTATATAAGTAGTAATCCTTAAACATTTGTGTCTGTGGTAACGTTATAGTTGGAGCAGTAAAACAGTGAACACCTGGCACTTACAGATTCCGGGCTGAAGGCGGGATACTTAAGCCCCTGTAATGTGCAATATGTATCGCATGGATGGAGACTGGTTGTTAAACCCCTGATCCGTCATGGGAGGTAATAAAAGAGGCATAATGGGGGGGGGGGGGGGGGTGTAACATCAGAGCTGTGTCTGTTTGCACGTGAAGCTCCCGCTGTGTGTTCACACACCATGCGCCTCCCGGAGCTTTCGCAAACCCCATAAGGCGAAGTGAATTCAGAACCGCACACTTTAAAAAGGGGCTACAGATACAACGGCAGTAAAAGTCAGCAGTGGTGCATCCATGATCATGAGGTCATTTTTCATATCGCACTCAGTTCTTCAACAACTGTGCCACTTAAACACAGTTTCTACTTTTTAATTACAGCTCAGCATTTGCCTTCTGTGAATAAACAAAACGGAGGAGGAATGATGAGGTGAAGTTGTTCTGCAGAGAGTTGGCAGTGGAGTAACAGCGTCTGTGTTCGAAAAGGGTGCATGGGAAGCTTGCACCGTTTGTTTACAGGCGCGTCTCTTGCTTCTGCAATGCTGCAACACCACTGGGACAAACATTTTGACAGTGCCTTTTGCTTCTTGCGTAGAGCAGCGTAACTACCTGTTTGAGCCACTAGATGGCAGCAGAACAGTGTCCAGCTGATGAGTTTGAGTTCTTTAATCTACTCTCTTTAGTGCCTGTTTTTGGTCTACATCTAATTGTTCAAATATGCTCCCCAGCTCATCTCTCACTGTTTGTCTCCTATTGAAAGCTGAAAGGGAAAACAGGGGATCACAACATTTTCTCTGGAAAAAAAAAAAAAAAGCTGCTTGCCGCTCCAACGTAATGAAATCAGACTTTTCCGGCGATGAAAACAGCCCGTTCCAAAAAAGCTGTCACAATTGAGGGTCGCTGCAGTGTTGGTGAAGACCTCCAGTCGTTGTTATTAAAAATACTGATTAAAGCAGCAGCTTTAGAAGCCCCGAGCTCGTCACTGACCTGTGCATTCTGCAGAATATTGTTTACCAACACGACTCTCCGTCTGGCATTCAGCAGCTTCTTCACATAGGGGTCCAGGTCTAACGCCACCTTCTGATGCTCATTTATCCTGCACAACTCTGCAGAGAATGAACAACACAAGACACACAGTGATCAGCAAAAGGTATTTCATCACCTTCATACAGGTATTTGTAAAGAAAATGAAATGCAAGATAGAAGTAAATTAATTAATCCTGAGTCATTTTACCTGTTGCAAGATTGTCTATATGTTCTCTTAATTCCACCTGGCTTTCTCTGTAAAAGAAGAAAATAATCACATTATCTATCAGAATTGCAGCATCTTTAAAGCTCCGCTTCCACCAAGTGGTCCGGTTCAGTTCAGTTCAGTATGGTACACATTCATTTGGCGTTTCCCCAGCTAAAAGTTGGGAATGGTGACAAAAAACGATCTGTACTTCCTACTTTGTTGCTACCCTTATGTTACCAATCCAACCCTGATGGGTGCCTTCTATAACGTCACACTATTACTTAGCTGATGCACCTATCAGCTTACCTGCTTACATCACTTGTACCAAGTAAGGGAATGGTTGCCTGTGGAAATGCAACAAGGCAGTGGTTCTCAAACTATAATACGGGGAGCTCCCTGTGGTGGTACGCAAAGAAATCTCAACAATATAAAAAACAAACCCGTTCAGCATAAAACAACAATTTATTTTTGTATCTATCTATCTATCTATCTATCTATCTATCTATCTATCTTATCTAGCTTGTATCTATTGGGTTGTATTTATATCAAATGTGTTTCCCCTCTAAATGAATCTAGTTTTTGCAACAAACAACTTTAATCTGCTCAATTTATGCTCGCGCACAGACATAAACAACAACAGGAGTACGCCTCGCGTTTTGAAAAGTTCCACTCGATATTCCGTTATAGTTCAGTCCCGAAACCACAGCAAGCAGCTGTAGGCCTACACTAACAGAATAAATAAATAACAGAATATCTGTTCATGTAGGCCTACATGAACAGATATTCTCATTAACAGATATTCTGTTATTTATTGGAGTTCAGCACACAATCCGCAGCAAGCAGCTGTACATTAACATTTATAAAATGCAGCAATTTTATGAATAAATGAAAAATTAAATGAGAATAGGTCGGAAATATACTTGGGCCCAGGTATCGTGTTTGTGTGGGAAACACTGCAGACTAAATATTTCCAAACAGGTTGTTGGTGTAAAGTTTTCATTTTTATTGTTCTGCACTTTTGTGTGTGTGTGTAAGTTGTAGCATTAGCCCTTAGTAGGCCTGCAGTGTGGCTGCCAGCAGTCAATAATAAATAATATTCTTTTTATGAATCAATTTGCCTCTTGCATGAAATGTGTGTAGAAACAGGCCTACAGTGTTTTTTAACATCTACCATAATGGTGGTACTTGGAGAGCCAAATATTTTCAGGTGGTATGCGGTCTAAAAAGTTTGAGAAGCACTGCAATAAGGGGTTTACCGTACCATAACCAATGCAGGGGGCTTTAAGTGGAGGATAGATGAGCAGATACAGGGTTTATGAATCAATTAAAGACAGAGGAGCAGGAGCGTTGACAGAGTTTCTGGGCCCCATTAAAAGATATGACATTGGGCCCCTCTAACACAGACTCAGCCAACCCTGTAATAGTGCTATAACCACACCTCCATCCCATGTACGACCCTTTAGAAACTTTACATTAAGGCCATCAAAATGTTCCTCCATCAGTGCTTCTGATACAACACATTTTAAATCAATTAAATCCCTTTTAGTCCCATTCCCCCCCCACTGAAACGTCCATGCAGACAGAAGAGACAAAGTGACAGAGGTGGAATTTCTGATCAAATCAGATAAATAAATTACATCTAGCAGGTGATGACAACTTAAATTGATGACAAATTTAAATGTAAATGATTAAACACAGAGGGGAACAATGAAGAACTCATGACCCCCGTGATGGAGTCACGGGACAATCAGGCAGTTAGCTGCAGTAGCTCCGCCTGCTCGGATGTCAGTCACGAATAATCAGTAATAATAATTAAAGAAAAAACAGACACTTACCTCACTGAGTGTACATGCAAGTCAAGCTGCTGGATTGCTGGTTTCAGGAGGTCGAGCAGCCCCTCGGCGATAACATCTTTCCCTGCAGAAGTCTCCACCAAAGCGGCTGAAGCCATTTTAACCGAAAAACACATAAACACAGCCGCAACCGGAAATGACGTCAACGCGGTGACGTAAAGCGTCATTTAGAACGTCTCCATTTTCTCCGTCCGCTTCAGCAGCTAGCAGCACCATTTTGGAGAGAGAGACGACACCCCTTGTCTCTGCTGCTATTTTTTTATTTTTCTTCTTCTGAGAAAGCCAGAAGTTAACTAGACATTTTATTTATTTTTTATTGTTTTTCCAACTGCGCTCTGTTTGGAAAATCAGCTTCAAAATATCCGTTTTATGCAAACAGAAGAAGATACGGAGAGTCGACAGGGCCGCGCCGTGCTAAGACGAGCTAGCTCTCGAGGCTAATCTTGACTAGCTGCAAGGCTTTTCTCCACCGACGCAACATTCACTGTAAGTATTAAAATGAATACATGCAAACAAAATGTTGTTATATTTAAGGTTATTTATTAAACTTGTTTAATTTAGACTTTGTAAACTCCGTCCCTTGATCCACAAAAGGTGATACACTACCTTGCTAAGCTAAATAGTTTCTGTCGGTCAAACTGGGCCGGTTTACACCAGAACTATTTTTTTATTTATTTTATTTTTATTTATTTATTTTATTAATTTTTTTGCGAGGGTTTCAAATGATTCCTTTTTTTTTATCGAGTAGTTTTTAATATATTAAAGTACTTCATTAAAGGTGGAGGCGACACGCTTTCAGTGGCACTAATGATGTACGATCAGACAGCTGCCACCTCTGACGTCATCCTGTGATGTTTTTACCTTATGGTCGATACTAGATGCTTTGTAGTGAATGAGTTTGGTATGTAAACTTGTCTCTAAGTGTTGAGGGAATGTCTGTTTACGAATTTAAGTTGATTGCCTAACAAGATACCGAAGCATGTTTTAGTTTAGTTTTTATTTTTATTTTTTAACAGCTTGTTTAACAATATTTTGTGCCCAAAATGTTGAACAATAATAACTTTTATTGTGCTTTGACATACAGCAGGAACATTACAAAAACAAAGCAAAAGAACATAAACAACAAAATAACCAACAAACATGTTAAACCCAACCATCACGTTAACCAGGCAAACACAAGAACCAAGACGACCAAATAGTGAGATTATGTAAGCGACTGAAAGTGATCTGCGGTGTTGGATAGCCTGCTGGTTATGTTGCACGTCCCCCTGCAGCGACTGTGGGTTCGAGTCCAACCTCGGCCCTTTGCTGCATGCAGTGCCCCAAAATATCTTGCAAATACTAAAAATGTAAAAAAAACATACCAGTAAGAGCAATTTAAACAAGCAGATAAATAATGAAAGGGATGATAATAATAAAGGTAGTTATATAAAGCATTACTAAAATAATAGCCATGTGTGTTTCCCTCACATGGACATCGATGCTTTGGAAACGCTGCCTTGTGTGTGCACATGGCTTTGTTTACAGCCGATATAGACATCTTCACAAGTTTTATTTAGAAGCACTCTGCATTAATGTCATTAAGAATTCCTCTAATGGCTGAATCTGAAACCAACCCGGAGACTTCAAAAAAAGATGTGCAAAGATTTAGAGCTGTAGGTTGTCCAAAAACCAGGATCACAGGATGGAAACTAGAACTATATTTGACATTTGATAACATCCGATAAACACAATGTGTATATATCGTTTTCCCCCTGCCTCCAAGGCTATGACACCCAATTTGTTTTGCAGTAGTGTGTACAAATTAAGTTTAAAAAAAATATGTTTCATGGCCACTCACATGCTGCTTGTTATCGACTCTGATTTTGCTAACCTCGTTCTAAATCTTTCATTTCCTGTCCCATCTCTTTCCAGGAGCCTGCAAACGAAACCTGTCAAAATGAGTGCACCTTCCTCCCAAAAAGTGGTCCTGAAAAGCACCACCAAGGTGTCCCTGAACGAGCGGTGAGGCGCCACGCACCCTGTCAGCAGTTAGACACCAGATGATGAAAGGGCCAGCCTTGGCTTGTGAAGGTTCTAGTGCTCCCTACGGAAGGCTTCTGTTGGGGACCGGACCCGACATGGATGCTATACTCAGTGTGTGCGCTGCTTACTCAACTACGTCTGTCCCGTCCACGCGTGTGGGGTTAGATATGGTTTTAATGCGGGGCAGAGGAGGCTTTCCTGGGCCAGATGTCTTGCATGAGCAGTGCACACATGTAAACAAGGGGAAAGGGTAGTGGTCATACTTGGTAAGCCTATGCTAGGCCGGACCACTGTCCTACTAAAGCCCTGGCACCTACTCCCTGATAACACATCCAAGTATTAGCCTTTACATGGGAGAGGAAGGCTTGAGCTAAACCAGGGAGATGGGGCACCTTCCTGCCTCTTTACTTTTCTCTCTCAACCCAGCGGAAATGAAGCACATGCTCCCTTTTCTCCCTCACCTGTCTCTCTCTCTCTCTCTCTCTCTCTCTCTCTATGCTTAAAGGTGCTCAGTCCTAGCTTGGACGTGACAAAGCTCTCCCCCTACCCCCCTCATCTCCCCTTACTCAGTGGTTAAACCACAGCGTCACGGTCCATGCTGTAAGAGGCTGAGTGGCCAAGCACTCCTCACGTCCAGGGCCTCTGCTGCTGCTGCAGCGCGACGACACCCAGCCGAGCAGCTGGAGGCCTGTAAGTGGCAAACTGTGCTCCTCTTCTGGCACTCTCTTCTCTGTTTCTGCACTCTTTTCTCTATTCAAGTTTCTTCTTGTGCTTGTTTGAAATTAAACATGCTTAATTCAAATATAAACCATCTGTGATATGATTGAGAGAGAAAGTGAGTGCCAACAAATGGAACGTAAGTCTGAAATGACAAGAGCCATCACAGTCTGTGTGGCCGCATCCATAATGTGAGAAATGACTTGATGTGGAACCTGCTTCCTCCTCCTCCTCTGTATGTCCCTTCTCCCCCCCCTCTCTCTCCCTTCCACCTCTAAAGCTTCACTAACATGCTGAAGAACAAGCAGCCTGCTGCGGTAAGCATTCGAGCCACCATGCAGCAGCAGCACCTGGCCAGTGCCCGTAACCGCCGACTGGCCCAGCAGATGGAGAACCGGCCGTCAGTGCAGGCTGCTCTGAACCACAAGCAGGTGAGGTCAGAGGTCAGCAGGCTGAGTGTCGTGGACTTTTTTTTTTACCAGATATAATCCAACCTCCAATCATATAGACGTTGTGTTGAGGGTAGGGTTGGGATTTGACCGAAAGATAAAATCTCAGATATTTGCACACCAATTTAGATTTTAAATTTGATAAAACTTATTGTAGACTGTTTTTAGGAGTCTATTGAAAATTCAAAGCCATAAACACTACGCTCTCTCCTGGTTTGCTCAGTCACAAGCTACAAAACTTTGAGATGACAGACTTTAATGAAACAAGCGGCATCGATCTAGAGGAATATGATGTGAACGCACGGAGAGAGAGATGGAAGCTCAAGGTCTAAGCATATAGCAGCAGAACATTCTTAATTTGTAGTGGATGTAAGGTCAGTTAATCTGTATTTGTATAGCACCAATTCATAACAAATGATATGTCAGGACACTCAACAATAAGCGCATCTCTAGACCAGACTCTATATTCTACACCTTGCAAAGACCCAACATTTAAGCTTGTGCTTGTATGCCTGATTTAATTTTGCTTGCCATTAAAAACTTGTCAGAGCTTGAAACAACGGTTGGGGAAGAGCAACATCCAGGCGAGGCTGGGCCGGCCAGTCGGTGCTCTGATGAGAGGAGGACCTGCAGGAGGAAGAGGAGGCATGAGAGGGATGACTAGGGGAGGCCTCCGAGGACGAGCCAGAGGAGGAGCGATGAGGGGAGCGCTGTCTCTGAGAGGTGGGTGTCTGAGGGTCTGATTCTCGAGGCTGTAGAATTTCTTTCCCTTTAACTGTGTGTTCTAAATGATGATTTGATTTTGTGTTTCACAGGGAAGAGGATGACCACAGGTGGTCCAATGAGAGGTCGTGGCTCTGCTGGTCGCCTGGCGATGCGTAGAGGAGGACGCCACCGTGGAGGACCTCCTGGCAGAGGAGGCGCACTGATCAGAGGAGCAGCACGTGGGGGAGTTGCAAGAGGTGAGGGAGCGACAAAGTTTAATTTCTCATATTTTTATAGTTAATAATTTCTCATATTAAGTAAACAAAATGGACTCATAAATGTTTACTTTCATAATCAGGTCGTGGTGGTCTGCGTGGACGTGGTGGTTTCGCTGGTCGGGGTGGTCGAGGACGTGGGCGGGGCCGGGGAATTGGCCGTCCTTCTGTGACTCGCGAACAACTGGACAACCAGCTGGACGCCTACATGTCGAAGACCAAAGGTCACCTGGACGCAGAGCTGGACGCCTACATGGCCCAGGCGGACCCCGACAGCATGGAGTGACTCTGATGCACACGAAGAGAGTCTCTGCTGAACTGCACAACTGAACTCGAACGCACAAGATGAAGTGTGAATTACACCAGAAATGTTCTGAGACGTGATTGTGTTCATAAGTTAGACGGCAGAGATGAAAATCGAGTAGGGGGTAGAGGTTTCACTTGAATGTGCTTCGACCACGACTCGGTCCTGCATCGACCTGCTCCTGAGAAACCTTTCAAATCTTTGCGGAAGGACCTTTTAATTATTAATTTACCTTCTGTCTCTAGAACCATTATTTTTGTTCTGTTTTTTTATACATTATCTGTAAAATGGAAATGTGTACCGGCTTTTAAAAAAAAAAAAAAAAAAGACCCGGGAAATGTTATGTCCACTGAAGTTGAAAACTCCTTTATTTTATAACTTTTGTTTTAGATAGATCTTAGCGTTTGTTGGTTCTATCTCAAACATTTGCGACCTTTTCTAGATTCATGTAAAAAAAAGAATGTAAGAAAAGAGTTATAAAGCCAAGAATCCGTTTGTCTGTTTTGTATTTTAAAAGATGTAGTGCTCAGTTTTTCCCGGTCTCTGTATCCAAAAGCTGTCGGCTCTCTGCTGTGGAGGTCTGCGATTCTTATCTTGTACCTGAGAGCATTTGTATAAAATTACCTGAAGCCAGTGAAATAGGTTTTAATTAAAATGGAAACGATGATTTCCCAAAACTGTGTTGGTTGCCTGTATTTGAAATGTTCATGCCTCATCTAATGGGGGGAATCTTCAAAGGTTACATACTATCCCAAAATTCAGTTTTAACATGATGTGTGGCTTAGACTTAATCAGATCATATTTATCCAAGTTTAGATCTAGTTTAAATGTCATATTCTCCTCCTTTTCAAGCAGTTTAAGTCTCACAGATCCTCAAAACATGTCTGAAGTTTCTTGTTCCAAATCCACTCTGATCCTGTATTTGATCATGTCTATAAACCCCTCTATTTCAGCCCTGCTCAGAACAGACTGTTTCTGTGTCTGTACCTTTAAATATGTAAATGAGCTGTGTCTGACCACGCTCTACGGAAGGGCTTGGGTGGCTCGGGCTTTCTCGCTCCATGTCCTGTTGTTTACAGTGAGAAGGCAGACTCAGAGGGCAGAACAAACACTTAACTGTGGGAGTGTCACCCACCTGGGGGAGGGGCTACTGCCCTTTGTGATGTCATGAAGGGAAAATCTCCAAACGGCCTGTTTGAGCACACATTTTCTGAAAAGTGGAGCAGGTTAAAAGACAGAGAATGGACTTTTCTCATCACTGGGTGGTTTGTAGACAGACTAGAGACACATCAGAGTTACAAAATCAAAGTTGAGTGTATTTTATATAATATGTGACCTAACTGTGTGATTCAGTAGTTAAGCCAGTAACAGCAGGTCAAAAATAATTCAATTGATGTGGTAAAATAAAAGTTTCATGATAGTTTAAATGAAATTAATCATCCCTAACCTGATCATAGGGTAAATCTGGTTCATATTTTGTACGCATTCCAGATGGATAAATGACAAATAAACAACATCATATGATATGAGAAGGTTTAATTTATGATTTTCCAGAACATTTTGTGTCGTCAATCCTTTTCCAGGATGCGTGTGAACCTGTGAACCTTGCAATTTGTAAATTAGTTGCCTTTTTGAAGATTGAAGAATGTCCTATTGATTTTTAAGCAATAATATATTGACAACATATCAATATGTCAATCTGTCACAGTTGCAGGGAGGTGTTTTATATGTTTATTTAGAATTGTTAGAAGTTTATATGATCTCTACGTATTTTTAATTATCTTATAACTGCAAGACAGAGTCCAAGAAAATGTTTCCTTTTGGTAAAATAAAGTACATCTTATCATATCTTATTAACTAATAAAATGAAATGAATTGTTGATAGTTAATGCAAAAATAAATATTTATAATAGAAATTGGATACGATAATATTTACAAGAATGATTAACTAATTTCATGTCTCAGAATGTTGAATTATATATTTAGTGCTATGCTTTATTGAAACGAACAAAAACGCACCAGCTAACTCCATAGATTCAGTTTATCCGAATATTTAAAATACATAAATTGGCATTCAGCTCAAAACTTACTAAGTCTATGGTATACGACTTACCTGAACGCAGCACTTTCTGACGTAAACCGCTCTCAACTGACGTAAAGCTTCCTATAAATACTTCAGCGGCGGAATCAAAGCTCTCTTGTTTCTGGTGGATCGTGAGAAGAGGACACACAAAATGGGTAAATATTAACAATTTACTTATTCGTGACTTCGAACAGAGATAGCCGGTTCATAAAATGACAGGAAACACGCAGTTAAGAACAGGATTTGATTTTGTATTTTACATTAAACACCACGTCCTCACTTTCTGCACACCACGTTGGCGCATGCTAACTTAGCTGGTAGCTGGCTTGGAGCTAATAAGGCCGAAAGTGTTGGCAAACTTTACGAAGTCTTAGAGAATGACTGAATTATATCCCACATTTGCATTTAAAATCAAGCAAATACAGGTCATTCAGGTTATCGTAGTAGTGATCGAGCCTTGTAACGTTTAGAAAAGTTCCCCTCCCTTAGCTTAAGAGTTAGCTTTAGCGCTGCTATGAACGGAGAGAGCGCATGTCGGAAGGGAAGCGAACTTCGACGTAACACCTGCTTTTGAATTATCGAGAATGCGTAAACGATAAAAAAGGCACTGACGTCTTGCAGCAATGCACAGAAATGAAGAAACTGGTGCATATTCAAAACGTTAAGATCTAATTAAAATTATAATGTGCTGTTGTAGTATTTACAATGAAAGTGGCCAACAGGAACTGTGTATTTAAGTGGTTTTGTACCATTTAAAAAAATTTTACAAAACATTTATTATTCCGCTTGCCATCATGTTAACTTAATGACGAATTTATTCAAGGTCCGGATGATGGCATGTACATTAAATATAATAAAATAAATATTGCACAAGAGGTCCTGTTTTAAGAAAATTTAATAAACAATTTCTTGCGAAGCCAATGCATTAGTTGCAACAAGCTGCGTGTGTCCACTTCTTTCTAGAAGACATCTTTCTACTTTATTTTAAAGAAAACACAAGTCGTAAGCGTCCCTTTCAATTGTAGTTTACAAATAATCGTAAGTAATGTTTCAGATGAAGCGTCTGCAGAAGGTCTCTGCAGTTCCAGGCTTCATAATTGTTTGTGCCGCAGTGCAGACTCTACTGTGGGTTTGTCCTGTTCAGTGGGCTGATCCCAGAACAGCTGTGGCTATATCACTACATCAGGTTTTGCTTTCACCTCTGCACTGCTGGTTGCAGAACGGTGACAATGAGGCCTGAAACATTTGCTCTGTAGCATCCAAGACCCTGAAACTGTTGTTTCACATCTTGGAAGTCCTGAATTTGCTGCATCTTGTTTAAGAGTTTGGTTTCTGAGTTTGAACGGGTCGATAGTTTTAGATGCACAGTAATACCTGCAGACTGACCGACTGCTTCCAAATTTATTTCTTAAGTGGCAAAGTCTATCCTTGATATGGAGAAACTCTTGAAACTTTGACATTAAAACCAACCTCTCTCCACAGGACTGAAAACGAGACGGGGAGAAGTCACCCTTCAGATTCTGCTGCCCCTGTGGGACATGAGGTGAATATGTCTTCAAGGCCACATGGTCATTAATGTGCATGTGATATCTTAGTTTGTGTGCACAGTATGATCTCTGCTCCTGTCTGGTGGAGCACAGGTCTCATACAGTGCACAGAGTGATTAATTCTCTTGCAACCCACTGCTGTGCACTCTGCAGCAGTGTTACTTATGAGGACTTACAGCTTATACTTAATGTAATGTATAATTTCTTTACTACTTCTTTTATTACAAATGAAGTCTTAAATGTTCCATCTGGTTTTCAGGTGACAGCGCAGACCTCAGACCAGCTCGGTGAGTTTTATGACGGATTAAAACTTCTGTTAATTTGTTGTTATGATGATTGGCTTTATGTTCAACTGCTCTGATGTGTGATTGATAGATGCCTCTCTGAACCATCCTCCTGCACACATGATAAACTCGCATCTCGATATATAGCAATACATCCTCACCTTCGCCCTTCTTCGTCCTCCTGCAGGTTTTCTCCGGCCTGACCTGCAGAACTGAAGCAACGACACGATGTGAGTGTGGATTGTCAGTGTTTCCTGTGATTGACATTCTTAAAAGTCAGCACTGTGTGGTATCTGCAGCCAGCTGTGTCGTCAGCTGGTTTGTTCAAAAGCCAGTGCGAGACAAACTCAACGTCTGGCATCGTTGGTCTCTGAGCTGATCGTGTTCGGAGTCCTGGTATTTTTGTTGAAACACTCACTCCTACATAAGATAACCAAACATTATGAGGCTTGTTGTGGTGTCCTAAAAAAACGGTTAATAACAAAGATCCAGCTGGGATCCACATCCTGGTCCTATTTTTTTAATATACATCTCTATCAGGAAAAATGTGTCTGACATTGTGCCGTTTCATTTCTCCAGGTGTCAGCTGCAGTGATTGATCTCCTCGTTGCAGGCTTCATGAGTCGTCTCTGGATCTGATGGCGTTCAGCAACACTGAAGGTGAGTTTATAGATGACTCCTGTTCTCAGTGAGTGTGAGGTCTATCCCGACTGACCTTTACCTGTAGGGTCGTGTCGTTGGAAATGCCTCGCAGAGTAAACCTGTGGTCTCGCTTTACCCACGTGTTCACCTCCATGAGCATGCTGGGATATTACTGCAGAACATTTGAGGTGACAGGGATTGACTCTGAGTGGGCAGTGTGTGATGAAGTACTCTCTTTGTCTGTAGGTCTCTATGATGGCGTGCTGGATGACTGATGATGGACTGACTTGCAGACGGGTGAGTTAATCTAGTGATGGCTGTGATGTGAGCACTGTGTGGTATCTGCAGCCAGCTGTTTCGTCAGCTGGTTTGTTCATAAACCAGTGCGAGACAAACTCAACACCTGGCATCGTTGGTCTCTGAGCTGAACGTGTTCGGAGTCCTGGTATTTTTGTTGAGACACTCCCTCATGGGCTACTCTTCAATGTTAATATCTCAGATGCTGGGAAAACAACTCAGTAGAGCTGAACTCGTAGCTTTTAAACAAATCTTGTCAGAATCAAGATGGAAATGCATCTTTAGGGTGTGTGGTTCCTACATTAACCACTAGGTGGCAGCATCATGCTTGATACATTTCATTTGAGCAGTTGGAGCTTTCCGTTTTGTAATCGCAGCCCATAAACACTAAATTGGAATCGGCAGTCGTTACTGACCAGCTGAGCTACAAAAGAATGAAATCTAGATAAAAGATGTCTGCACAGCTTTCTGTTTCACTATGGTGGTGATCAAAATTAGTCTCTTTACATTGTCGGAGCTACTAAGGCTGTGCTGTTAGGGAAATGTTGAGTCAGACTCATCAACCTGCACCCTATATATATTTTTTAAGTTTGGTCACTCTGTGCATGATGTAATCTAGGGTTAAGGATAGGAGGCCAGTTTCTTGCAGCTATAACATTTCTGTAAACTTCGGCTGTCATGTTTTGTCATACAGCCATTTTTACATATTGTTCACCCTTTTGATGGTTAAATGTTTCTAACCGGATTCTTATTCCTTCAGATTTCTGCTGAAGTGAAAACATCCCGTCTCTGGATCTGATGACTTGCCGCAACACTGAAGGTGAGTTTATAGACGACTCCTGTTCTCAGTGAGTGTGAGGTCTATCCCGACTGACCTTTACCTGTAGGGTCGTGTCGTTGGAAATGCCTCGCAGAGTAAACCTGTGGTCTCGCTTTACCCACGTGTTCACCTCCATGAGCATGCTGGGATATTACTGCAGAACAAGATGTGACCTGATTGTTGATATGATCAACAGCATGAATCATAACAGAAGCTTGAATAATGTGTTGTAATTTTGTTTCAGAAAGCTGAAACCATCCTGGAGCGTGACGTCGCTGTCTCTGCAGCCTGTAAGTAAACGTCTGTTTTCCTACATTCACTTGTTGGTCATATACCAAGGCTTTCAGGACTCACACTTCCTGACTTGCTGTGGAATTGACCAGAAATTAAACCCCATCCCAGCCGGCTTCTGCAGCTCCGTGCTGGAGGAGACCTGCTGGGAACAAGTTCTGATTGTTTGATGTCGCACTGTTACAGAATCTGTTTTTCCATAATCCTTGGAACATATCGTTGAGTATAGTATAGAAGGCTGAACCTTTTCCTTGTTTTTGTTTTCAGACGGAGCAGATTGATGCAGAACCATCAGAAACCAGCGGAGAGCATGAACACCAGCACTTGTATCTGCAATCACTGATTTTGGATTCATAAATAATCTGTGCTCAGTGATAGATTTAGAAAACACCTGATTGTTTGAATTTAAATAAAACACTTTGAAAGATTAATTTTTGTTCTGTGTTTGGTATTAAATTCTTGCACATTGGTAAAATGTTTCTTCTGTAACCATTCATCATCTAGACCAAAAATTTTCATTACTTTCAACATTTTTAAAATTGCTTATTAACATCTCAATCTCAGCAAAAGTGTCTCAGAGCAGCAATAGAAGTCTTAAACTAGGATTACTTTTTAGAACCAAGTCTTCCCTGTGGGTGGCTGTGGCTCAGTTGGTAGTCTGTCGTCTTCCAACCTGAAGGTCAGTGGTTTAATCCTGCAACTGCCACCATCAGTGTGTGAAATGTGGTGTAAACATATTTTGAGAAGTCAGAAGACCTGAAGGAAGCTCCAGTACATTCACCTTATTTACTGGGAAGTTATTGTAGCAGTACTATGGGGATGATATTTATGAACTTGCTGCCAGTACTACAAAACCTTTAGATGCACAGATTGCTTTCCAGCAACTGCAGTGGGACACCTCGACCTCTGTCCAAATAACTGGTACTATTACCCTGGGTGCTCTTGTACTGCAGGTAACCTTGACTTGATTCAGAATTGGGACATCCCAACATACGGAAATTACTAAAAGGATCTAAACATTAGTGTTTAAAGTTTGTTTGTACAGGATAACACATCCTCATTAATGATGCCCCCCCCCCCCAACATAAAACAGACTCTCACTCAGCCCCACAGTCAGAGAACATCAGTAATGTGAAGGATTTTATAAAGACATTTCTGCATCACATTAAAACACTGGACTTAATATTTTATTTGATTACACTGAACTCTGCTTTAGAAAACTGTGCTTGCAGTTATTTGCGCTGTAAATTATGCACTCATTGCAACTTTAGTACATCTTGATAGCTTTTCATTCTAGTCATTTTTAAATTGTGTTTTATATTTTCATCTATTTGAGTCTCCTGTCAGCAGGGGCTCTGCTCTTTTTATTTATCTTCTTACTATCTTTGCTTTAGTCCTTCAGTAACTGTTTTGTCAAATTCCTTGTGTGTGTAAATGTACTTTGCAATAAAACAAAATGCTTCTGATTTTGATTAGAGCAAATCAAATTATGGTTAGATTTTTACTGCAGATATCTGGCTGTGATAGACTTTGACAGAGATCAAGTTTTTGAATAAGTTCACTTTTTTAAACATTAAATGTCAGACAGAAATGTCATCTGAAGGTACAATTCATTAATTTAATCTGCTCCAAATTGTCCCCGGACTGTATGGAGGTAAAATTTACACCTGTAGTGGCATAATACCTCCACCAGGGGTCAGTATATGTTTACACAACAGGGTAACCTGCCCCCGCTCAGGTTACATTTTGTCCTTTAATGGAGATGTCTGAAAAGAGGGTCTTTTCTGATTGGATGGTAAACCAGAACGCTGTGACACTTTTTCTTCACCCCAGTCTGTGATATTAAAAACAAACTTTTCAAATGTTTGGAGTGTTTCTTTTCTGTCCTTTTATTTCTGGACATGCAGTCCCCCTTTGCACACGCACGTGTCAGAGCATGTTACAGTACAGAAAACAAAGCTCCATTATCTGTGAAGAAGTATGCCTTTCCCTCTCATTCCTTAGAGTTAAATATATAAATACTTTACTGTAACATGGTTCTGAAATGCGTGTTTGTTTCCCAGCCCTAGCTTTATGTCTCTTTACAGATGTTTTGTTTCACTTTGAACTTGTTTCAAGTCTTTTTATATGTGGTTGTAGTTTTGTGGTCCCCATGTGCGGCTTCTTATTTTTGCTGTGTTGTTCCTTTTTGCAGTTGGACTCTTGCTGTTTCTGTTCCTGTCTGTTTAATTTATTTCGTGTCTTCGATATTTTGAGTGTTCCTCTATGCCGTCACTTGAAGTCTTTTTGTCTTCTCTCTTTGCATTTACCTTTTTCCTTTGAGTAACAGTTCTGTCTCTGTGATGTCATGTTGTTTGTCCTTGTACTTGTTTTGTCTCTCTCTGTGGCCTCTGTGTGTCTCTCTTGTTGTTTTGCATATCTCTTTGTCTCATCCGCTGATGCTCATCTATTTTTATGATGGAAAATCCTGGTGATATAATATAATGGCGTCTTTAGAAATAAACTGGGTGAAAGTTCACCAGAGGGAATAATACGGGAATCACATCCAAAACAGCTGCGGGTCCAGGCACTAACAAGTTGCACAAGTCACATGATACAAGTGTGTTCGGTTGAGAAAGTGGAAACATTATCTCAGCGCCACGCATCAAAAACTGCAGAAGTTCTTCTGATGAAACCTCGAAAACACACAACTTCAAAATGTTCCGCATGTGTTTGTTGTGCTTAGGAACGCATGCTGCAATCTCTGAATTCTCTCAACAGGGCTTGGATGAATTCTCAGAAACGGTTCTCCATTTTATGAATCCCAAAACAGCCCTGAAGTGCTTACTGTACCTCTGCAAAAGGTTGCATATAAAACACACCTATGTTTACTTTAATGTACCAGCCATTGAATTAAGACCCAAAAGAGTAGCCTAGAGGTGTTGTCATCGGTAACCAGAACAACTAGCCCAGCTCTTAGCACACCTCCTTAGCACACCTTTTAACCCCAGGAGTGGTTTTAAAACACTGTTTCATTTAAAAGTGAAATCTAACTGTTAGCATACTGACAGGTTCTGCCAGACGGAGCAGCGACGACACATTGATTAATTGACATAAATGCAAAAATTAGTGTGGACTAGTACAAGCAAGAGGTAGAGAGCGATCAGGGAGACAGGGAAACGTGATTGGTTCATCAGATTGGTACCTCGTGGCAGACACTGGTTTTAAGTTTTTACAGGCTTACAACTGCTACAGATGACGGATTCTCTTTGTTCCTTTTTCAGAGAACATGAGTTATTAACGTCTGTCAGGACCTGAAGACCATTTCAACCAAAATCTTAAAAAGTGTATCTGGAGGAAATTACCAACCCTGCCCTTAAAACAAGTATAAAATACATTTATGACTCTTCTCCTCTGTCGCCCCCCCCGGTGGTGGAATGAACTACCAAACTCTGTTCGATCTGCAGAGTCCCTTTACACCTTTAAGAAAAAAGCTAAAGACCCAGCTCTCTCGTTAACACCTATGAACTCAATCATATTGATGATGATGATGGCGATATTTAGGATGGTTTTGATGCCGATTAAGACTCTCAAAAGCAGCTTTCGATGTTGTCGTTGATGATGATATAATAACTTTACTTAAAAACAACAAACCATGCTTTGCCTTTATGCACTGCCTGTCACCACGTTTATGTTTGCGTGCATATTAGACTGTATAGAATTATTTACAGTCACTTGTTTGCGCTTCCTGACGTTGTTTCCTCCTCTCTGGATCCTTGCTTGTGTTGTTGTACTCACTCTCTGGTGAACGATGCTTTGGACTTACGCGTCTGCTAAATGAATTGTAGCATTGTGAAACCCAGGTCATTTTGACATATAGGCTACATATATTGGGATTTAGGACTCAGAGTTTAAAACTGTAAAAAAACCAAAAACAAACAGAACATTTGATGGCCATAAATAAATAAATGAATAAAAACTGTAATCTGGGTGTGTAACCTTACTGTACTCATGCAATTTAGCTGCATGCAATCTTTTTAAGACAACATGTTGGTGATTGTTGATGTTAAAGCGAGGTGGTTGTTGGTTAACTAAAACCATACGAATAAGTAGCTGAAATAATGTGTAAAATGAGGAATTAAACTACATGTCCATTCCTGAGTCTCAAACTGAGATGCGTACCGTCTTGGAGCAGAAAATAACCAGCATGCAGAATCATATACTATGATCTGAAGTCAGCCACTGACCTACAAACGAACATGATGACCATGAACTGGAATGTTTGCTATGCAACCGTTCAGACATGTATCTTACCGGCATATATCCAATAACGACAACGAATGTCTAAAATAGTTTATGTTGTGCTCATTGGATTTCAGGGTTTGTTTTCTAACTGAGCCACATTTTCAGGCTACATCCATGCTAAACTTTCTGTATATTGTTTTAAGCATGTATTTCCAGTTCAAACCACTTGATAGTAATTATTATGAGTAGGTTTTGGGAATCACCGCGTGCCAATGAAAGTGATACACCTTCAGTGACTCATCACACCTATGATGGCGAATCCAGACGATCCTCTCTCTCTGGTTTCAGCCTGTTTACTACAAATGTACTTTTTCCCCTCTCTCTCCACCTCTCAACTTCCTGCCTCACATCTGCTGTACATGCTCTCGAGTCTCCCAGCCACGCGGTGTCCACGCGTCGCTTCTGGGCTCTGATTGGTCAGAGCCGACACAAACAGAGCATTTCAACCAATGGGAGCGTTGTGCACGCGCTGAGCCACGCAGTTCAGCCAGGCTGCTCATGGCTCGTCATATAAAAACGGCATCAGACTCCTCTTTGTTTACAGCCGAGAGGAGAGAGCAACCGACAAGTCCACGGTCGCTTCACAGCAACGTTTTAAATCGATCAGGTTGTTTATCACCTGTGTTGGATATACGAAGTCAAACAATCATGGTGGCGATGATAAAGCGAGTGAAGACCTTCCAGGTTGTCTTTTCGGACCCCTCCAAGACTTTTTACTGCGGGGGGGACAAGGTGTCCGGCCGGGTGGTGGTGGAGGTGAACGAGGTGACTCGCGTCACCGCGGTGAAGGTTCTGGGTCTGGGCTGCGCCAAGGTGGAGTACGCGAAAGGGAAGCAGCGGTGCCGACAGGAGGCCGAGTACCTCCGATACGAGGAGGTGCTGCGACTGGACGAGCAGCCAACAGGTGAGGATATCCATCACCTTGTCTCCACTGCTGCCTGTTTAATACATTAAGAGAGCAGCGAGATGATCGATACAGGGAAGCATCGCGATACTTAATAACTTATCGCGTTCAGGGACTAAGCGGGAATACAAACGAATTTATTATGATTTTATAAGTACGGTTAACTGAGTTGACTCACATTATATGTTTTGTGTTGTTGTTGTTGTTTAAGACCGTTATGTGCAGTTAATTAGATTTTTGAAA